CTTGTTACCCCTGCGCCGGCGGGCCGGCTTCTGGGGAGCGTGGCTGTCCGACCTGGGCCGCGGAGAGGCCTCTGGCGTAGCCGAGTGCCTGTTGGTGACACCCGACGTCCGAGGTCACTTCCTTCCTAGACTTTCGCCCTTTTTCGCTGTCATACGGTGTAATGCTGCTGTGTGGAGCAAGCTGACTACATACGTGGATATGCACTCCCATCCCTACAGTTCTGTGGCACTTAGCAATAGCTTTTGAAAGTGCTCAGAGCACAAGAAGTTTCGTTATATATTATGGGAGCTGTCATGGAGGAATGTGCTGAGTCCTGGCCTGCCTTGCAACAACCCCGCCTTGCAAACACCAATGATTAGCTGAGATTAGCGTCCCTGTGCCTTCTGCCTCTGTAATCAGGGTTTATAATAAGCACTTACAAGAACAATCTGGCTATAGGGTATTTGGGAGCTGTGAAAGGAGAGTGTCAGAGCAATGTAAAGGGAAGGGCTGTATAGAGATTTTAAACTGATGCTGCGGTGTGGAGACTGTAGGACCATTTGTATCTTAACCACTGTGTTATGGCTGAGAGGCCTTTTTCAAGTCTTAGGGTGGCTACCTGTCACCTGGGTGACCTCGGACAAGTCTTCTGTTCTGCCCAAGTTTCACCTTTAGCTGAGGGGGATCAGGCTGTCAGCTTTTTTGTGTGCTGTTCTGGAAGTCCAATATCAGGAACTGTTCAGAGAGGAATGGTTGGGTGCCCAGTGGCAGGAGGAGGATTGGGGAAGTCAGTAGGAGGGGATTTTTGATTGATACTATTTGGGTGGTGCCAGAAAAGGCTTTATAGGGTGATAGCAGGCATGCTTATTATGGCAGCTTTGAGGGTCAATTACTGATACAACAACAACCACAGTCTTTTAGGATGTATTCTAAACCACAAATTTTTCGAGTTAGTGTAGGTGAGGAATTTTTGCCTCTGTCAGCATTGCCCATGTGGTCTGTCATGGTTTGAGAGCCATGTGCTTTTACTTTTCACTGTTTATCTGTGTGTTCTCCATTTCCTAGTGGTGGGGAGTGCTCTGACCTGCTGGGTTTTGCTTTGTAGACAGTGTTACCTTTTAAGGACACTGTGCCAGAAACCATGGCTGGGGGAGACTAGGGGGAAATGCTGCTTCTGTCCCTTGACTCCTACTGGGGCTGAGGTTCATTAATACATCAGATCTGTAATCAGATGTCTGTAGAAGGAGGAGGAATTGTCATGATTAACTAATTAGAGGTCCCGAGGAAAGTATGAGCTTTCTCATAAGTCTTAGAGACTAATTTGGGAGATGACAGCAGGTGGAAATCTCTCCTTAAAATTCTGTGGAAGAATTTGATGCTTATGAATTTTTCTCATGCAGCCACAAGAGGTTGCTAAAGAAGGGCTTTTTCCTGCTTTAAGAATCATGAGTCCTATCCTGGATACAGACATGCACATTGTGTAGAAGGGTCGCTTCTCTTAAGAGAGTAAGATTCAAATCAGGCTTTTTTCCCTTCCAAAGTCAGAGTCCACTGATTTAAGGAGGAGATGCTGTTGCATCCCTGCAGAACCTCAGCTGCAATAGAGCTGAACTGATAGGAGGTGCTTAAAAGATGGTGTGATACAGTGATGGTGGCTTCTTATGTGTGTCCTGTGGGCCTTCTCAAGTCTGTTGGCACTGCTGCTGCTTTGCCTTGAGGACCAGGAACACAGTGTACCTGTTCTTCTCCAGCACTTCTCCAGTTGTTCTGTTGATATGGAGCCACTCTAAATGGTGCCTTGTTTGCTTCCCTGTGTCTGGGTGAGTTATCATGAGCAAGACACTTTACCTTCATGTTCTGTCCTGACTTAAGTTTGTGAAAAGAGAACAGTGATGTTGACTTTCTTATACAAAATGCTCTATTGACAAGAGAATCTGGATAATTGATCAATTCTGTTCTGCATTTTTCTTGTGCCTTGTCTTTGTTTGCACATTAAATGCAAATTCTGCCAGACATGTAGTTAGTCCAGCACAGAGGATAAGGAGTGGGAGCTCATACCATTCACCCAGCTAAGTTTGTGATGGTTGTCCTCTTCATTGCTTCCTCACCAGCTAATTTACTAGAGGAAAGAGGTCTCTTGGCCACTGCTACTGATGTTCACAGGCAAGCTGCCCTTTCAAAAGCCAAGAACCAGTGAGACCTGTATATACAGACAGCTCCTACAATTGATGGATTGTAACTGGATGAGGAAGAGGCAAGAAAGGGATTGGTAAGGAACATACCACCTGTCCTGTTCCCCCACGTCAGTGGAGTCAAGTGATGCTTTGTGGAGTAGGCTGTTGCTAGCAGGTTCACCTGACTTCTCCTGGGGATGTTTTCATTGAAGAAAGGAGACCCGGACAGTGTTCCTGTGCTGCTTTGGGAGACAAATGAGTAGGCAGCAGAACTTCTTGGCAGAGAATGTGATGGAGCCCTAACGAGTGCTCTGCAGAGTGTGTCCCGAAAGATAGGAAAGTAAGCGTTAGAGATCCGTTATGGTGCTGACAAGGAAATGACCTTTCTACCTTTGTTCCTGGGTTGCATGAGGAAATAGTTGCACTTGTCTTATTGTACAAGAGTTCCATGAAGATTGCTCTGGACCTCAACTAAGTTGGGATAAGATTAATATGAGAATACTTAGAGCTTTGGGAGACAGTACTGCAGACTAATGCTAAAAAGCATTAAATAAATTCTAATCAAACAGCATGTTCTAATAGTGCATGAGGGAGAGAAAGGATGTCCTTAGCCTCTGACTGATGGTGGAGAAGAAACCCTAAAAAGAGTGTGGAGCAGTTAGCCAGGAGGTCCAAGATAAAGAAGCAATGCAGATCAGATTTTCCTTTGTGTGGTTCTCAGGAGGCCGTAGCTTCATATAAGCCACAAGATGATTAAATTTTCAGAATTGTTTTTTTTAGGGAGATGTTTTGGTCAAACAGTGGGCTAGCCACAGCAAGCTACCTTTATGAACTTGGGTACAAATAAACAACCATATTCTGGCCTGAGTAAGACCAAACTGTGAAGCACTGACACTTGTAACCCTGTATCTGAAGAGAGGGCCACATGATGCAGACTGTGGTTTAACTGTCAGCCTGGCTAACACAAACAGTGTCAAGTAACCAGGAGAGGTTAATCAGTGAGCTGGCAAGATGCAGTGTTTTGCTGTGCTGCCTGCTGACAGTTTTACTTTATTCAGCATGGTATCATCTGAGTGCATAGTTAGCAGTTCTGTTTAGCTAGAGTTAAAAAAAAAAAAGACTGCACTGCAGCCGAGCTTGAAGGTTTAGGAACTGCTCATGAGAGTCACCCCGATAGCCTGTGAATGGTATGTCCACACATTGTTTGTTACTGACATGCCTAGAAGCCCTGGGCATAGTCTGGAATGCAGAGGTGCTGGGTGCTTTCTCCTCAGAAAGAAGAGGATCCTACATGGAACAATAATTTATATGCAGTTTTGCAACCTTCTGGCTGTTGTTTGACTTTCAATTACGCCGCTACATTATTGCCCAACTAATGTCTCTCTAGTGATAATGGGGAAGTTGTGTTCCCATTTTACAGGTGTCAGTTGATGTATCCAGAGTAAATAAAAAGAATTGTTGTCAGAGATGAGATTGAAACCCAATTCTTCTGGATCGCTTCTTTTCACCTTCTACCATTTAGAAACTCAAGCAGAAAGTAAAATTAATTTTTCCTTTTTGTTTCTCAGAGGAACGAGAACAAAGTACATTAACTGAATTGGCTCATGATAGCATTGCACTTTGTTTTCTATTGCCACGTCACTTTTTTGCTTGGAGTTTAGCCTGCCCTGACATTCTTTCTTCAGCTTGTTCAGAGAGAGCAACTAGTGCTTTGCAAATACATTTGTTTACATTAATTTCTGCAGCTGATTTAAACCAGCCTGGACTGAAGACTTTAGTATGTTGTTTAATTTAGATCCCATTCCTTTTACTGAAGCTCTCCTGTAATTGGGGTATATGAAAGAGATATATATATATATATGAAGAAAATCTGGAATAAGACATCCGGGATTGGGTTTTTTTCATTAATTCTAAAATACTCTAATTCTTTCTTGTGAAAGTGTATACACTAGCTCAGGAAGTAACAAGTAACTTCTCTCTGTTGAGAGTGATTTGTTTGTATGGTACCTTTGTTAGGAGATATCCTGTTATCAGTGTGATTATTTTCATGTTGACTTTATCCCACTGTTCTAACCACTGTGTGATATTTCTTCTAGAGCCTAAAAAATGAAGCTAAAGGAAATTGAGCGAACAGCTGTCCAGGCATGGAGTCCATCTAACCACCACCCCGTTTATCTAGCAACAGGTAATCTTCACAATTTGTGAAAATTAAAGCATGAGTCACAGAGAGATTTTATGTAGAGTTGTATTGTCTTTCACTTTGAACAATTCCCACCTTAATAATCTCTTGAAAACTTACAAGCAATATACCAAAAACATTGTAACCTTAATTTTTTTTTAAAGTGACCTGTACAGGATTATTTATGTGCCCAGCTTGGACACCTTAAAAGTCAGTGATTTTTTCAAAGAGTGAATACATGGCTTTTTGGATCTAACTTCTAATTAAGTCCACATGAACTCCAACACCTGCTTGCTATAAAAAATAAACCAAAATAAGGTTACTTGGTATGTCTGTGAAAAAAGAAGTTCATTCTAATCATGCTCATTTAAGTTCACTTTTACTTTGTAGGTCTTCAGACATTATCACGTGGTTTGACAATCAAATAATAGAAACCTCTTCTTCCTAAAGTTGCACGTTTCAGTTATCATTCAATTTTCAATATTTCTGCAAAACCTTAAATTTGAATTTTGTTGATATTATTCATTATTTACTATTGTTATAATAATTTTATTTTCCAAAGCGCAAAGTCAGCCTGTTCACTGAGTTGGCAGTGGGTGAGTTTAGTGTCTGTGGGACCAACAGCTTGGGTTGTCTGCCCAACGTGAGAACTAGTCAACTCTGTCTCCTGCCTGGGTTGTGCAGTGCTACCATATTGTTTTGCTCTTTTTTTTCAGGGATTGCTGTCAAAAGAAAGTGACAAAAGTTCAGATGTTGCCTTAAAAGCAACATTACCATTTTTGGGATAAATAGTCTATTTTTTGTTTCTCTAATAAGGACAGATTTTTGGTTGGACAAAAGGTCTTGGCTTCAGTCTGCTTTAGAACAGAAACTGCATAGTTTCATAATTTGTACTGCTTTTTAATAGTCTCTTGAGCACTTTCCATGCCATAGGCAGTTACAAAGACCTCTGTGGTAACTGGGTGACTGTTTTCCTGGCAATGTCCCATTAGGCAATGTTAAATCTAGTTTTAGGTTTTATTCTGTAAGCTAGTGAGAAGGGAGGAAGCTAACCACTGTGTGACTGCTAGCTGTCCATGGGTTGTTGGGGAATGTTTGGTTGGCTAAGGTTGAAGAACTTTTGCTGTAGACCAGATTTAGAAGGTTTGATCAAGACATACAGTCATGGTTGAGGAGCAGTATGTGGAAGTATTTGGGTTCATACTTGTAGCAGGGTTGTGACTGCATTTGTGAGTTAGATAAAGACTCAGTATCAGAAGCTGTGGCTGCTTGGAAGGGGATATATGAATTATATTTATCCCAAGAGAGAAAGGTATTTGTATAACAGTGACCCTGTTGCCCAGAATTTTTTGAAGAAGTTCTAATTTATTTCAAAGTCTTTGTCATAATTGTTGGTTCCTCTTTCTGACATATTTTAATATGTCCTCTCCTTGAATAGACACAGCCAAAGTTGTGTTGACTATCAAGAATAGGTTTCCAATGCACTGCTCTTTTAGTATCTTGTGCTCTTGAAAAAAGTGCCTACTTGTTTTGCCCTTGTACTTCTGCTAGGAACATCTGCCCAACAACTGGATGCATCGTTCAGTACAAATGCCACCTTGGAAATATTTGAGGTTGACTTCAGGGATCCCTCCCTAGACATGAAGCAGAAAGGAACACTTCCTGCCTCAAACAGGTACTAGACCCTCATACTGACATATCAATCAGTGGAACTGGAAAGGGCTTTTCTTGTACAAGAAAGGAGAAGAAGAGATGGTATTTTGGGGGTATAAAGCAATCTTTTGGATAAATTGACTTCTGTCTTCAAGAATTGAATGTTTTTGTTGACATAGGTCATGTTGGGTGTAAAAGTACAGCGGTTGGACCATTGTAGAAATCTGAAAGGACTTATATGGTAGTCAGTCAGGACAGTCATTCTGTATCATTTGAATTTGCTGGGGCTAATGATTTGTAAATTAGTAGTAGAGACAGTAAAGACAGTAGAAGCAGAGTGAAACTTGTCTTCCAGCTTTTCAAGACAAGGCAATTTCTTAGGCTCATCAGTGTGGGTGACATTTGCACCCAGTGTAGAACACAGCCTTGATTTGTAACTAGCAGCTTTTACAGCGTGTAAACATATTTTTCAGGTAATAGCTCTGGAAAAGAAGGCATATAGTCCTTTAATCTGAATTTTTTTATAGTGTAGGTTTGAGAAATTCACCCACCAAATCCCCTATGAGGTCCTAAACATTTTAAGGGGAAGAAAAAGAGGGACAGATTAGCTCTTCCTTTGTAAATTCCCCTTAAAAGTTTTTGGAAGGAGGCTCATTTCTTTTTCCTCATGTAAGACCCACAGTCATCGTCAAAGGGAAATAGTTATTTAAGGTGTAGACTGATCATTATGTTTGACAGGTCAGAACATGGATGTGGTTTTTGGTAATGCAGAGGGTGTCTTGCCTTCCACCAAATACTGTAGCCTACGCCAACTTTATTTTCTTCTCTTTTAGGTTTCATAAGCTGATCTGGGGTAACTTTGGAAATGGGTCCCCAGAGTCCTCTGGAGTGATCATTGGTGGAGGGGATAATGGTGTACTGACAATGTACAGTGTGCACCACATCTTGGCTTCAAAGAGCGAGCCTGTAATTGGGCGGACAGAGAAGCATTCAGGCCCAGTTCGAGCACTTGACTTTAACCCTTTCCAGGTATGCAACATTAAGATACTTATAAACAAATGAAAATTTATCTCCATATTGAAAAAAAAAAAAAAAAATTTCCTTTGTGAGATTTATAAACTGAAGAAATAGTTTTTAACCTGAAAGAGGCATGGTAGTTGTGACACAGGGTTGGTTTGGGACTCAAGATTTGGGACCTTGATCAAGTATTTTACGTCTCTGTAAAAACATGTCTTGTAATACTGTTACATGTTAGACCATTAATCATTTGAAATCAGAACTTTTTTTATTTTTTCAGTTGGTGTCTAATTCAGTGCAACTCTGATCACACTTAAAGTGACTACAATGTGAGTAGTGAACACAACACAAGCTCTTGTGGTAGCACAAAGGCAAATTGAAAGTTGTCTGCAGACCCTTGTGGGAAGCCTGCCTCTTCTGAGAAGAAATGTCCTTGGTGCCAGGATGAAGGGCAAAGGCTCAGCTGGCCAGAGACAGCAGCTTCCAGGCCTGTGGCAAAGTTTCATTATGAGTAACATCAGCCACCTGCACATGTAGCTTGCTAGACAAAATTTAAACAGGTCTGTACCATGGCACAGCTGAAGGCACGAAGGCCAGAAATGTGCTTGGTTCCAGTTAGTATCTTTCTGCTTACCAGTGACTGTGAATTGCAGTTCTCATCTGACTTCAGAAACTTTAGGGTTTTTTGCTTACATTTATTTTTTTTAAAAATCTGTCCTCTTTCCCAGTGAAACTCAGCTGAGCTTTTCTTTTTTTCTACAGAGTAACCTTTTGGCTTCTGGAGCCAATGATTCTGAAATTTTCATCTGGGACTTGAATAACTTCAGTGTGCCTATGACTCCAGGGGCTAAGTCACAGGTAAATGAGTTTTCCTGTGGGCAATACTCTTGCAGTTTTGTATCAGTAGATGAGGCAAAAAGATGTGTGTGAAGTAATCCTGGTCTAGTCAGTTGAAGGGGGAATGACCTTGATATCTGTCAGGAGAAAGATGAATCAGAACTGACTAATCAGCTTCATTCTGGGGAAATGGAGAGAGTGTTATAAGGGGAGGGGAAGTAGGCTGGCAAGCTCTGGAAGGATGCACTTTACGTGGATGGGTAAGCTCTTTGTGGATTTGTACCAAGTAACTGACCAGTTTATCTTGTGATCCAGCTGGGGCATGTGTGATGGATTAAGAAGGCTTATTGGACCTTCTCTGAGAAACGAATTTACTTCAGGCTTCAGCTGAAGCTTTTCATATCTCATGAAAGTAATACCCCTAGCAGAGCCAGTGAGCCATTTAATGCATCTTGGCTGGCTATTACTCCCAGATGTTTCCTGAGTTTGAAGAGGAAGAAGCTTCTGATCTTCTAATACTGATTATGTTATTCAGGGCAATCAACTTCTGCAAGTGAAAAAGTTATAGTAAACTTGCCTAAAAGCAGGCCAAGTTTTTCCTCCAATAAGCCTCTCATTTGTCTCCTTGCCTATCTCCTGCATTGTAGTAGCTACAGTAACAGCAATTAGCCTTGAATGCCTCATCATTTTCCATCTCGCTGCACTCCTGAAATGTTGGACAAGGTCATCTTTACATTTAACTTCATCTCAGGAGTCAGGGTAGAAGCATCTATGTTATCTCAGCAGCAGTTCTCTCTGGACTGATTTATGACATATTTGGCCAATGCAGAATCCAATACCTGCTCCCAAAATGCAAAGGTGCTTTTTCAGGTGACGTTCCCCCATAGAATTTGACTGTCCACTGTACATTCTGAGTAAACGACTTTCCATGCTCTCTAGTCTTTCTGGTCAGTGCTGCTATTTCCAGTTAGTTGATCAGTGATTGAAGAGAATAATTTATATATCCTCAAATAAGTCAAAGCTAGTGACAGAACCCTGTGATTTGTGTTCCCTCAACATGGGAATAATGGATATGTGGCCTTTCCTATCTTGGCAGCCTCATGAAGACATCAGTGTGGTGTCCTGGAATCGTCAGGTGCAGCATATCCTGTCCTCAGCTCACCCCAGCGGCAAGGCTGTGGTTTGGGACCTCAGAAAGAATGAGCCTATCATCAAAGTCAGTGACCACAGTAACAGAGTGAGTGGAGGAAACACTGTGACTCCAACTAGCTTGCAACATGCCACATGTGACTGCAAAGCAGTGGCACAGGGTCTTGAGATCAAGGGGTTTTATGGTGAGAGCTGTTGACATTGGTTCTCTTGGAGCTGTAGCATCAAAGCACCTCTCTTTCTTTCTCTAATGAAATGGAGAAATGAGACCTGTAGATACTCCTAAAATTAGGGCATCCTTGCATTCAGTTTCTATGTTCACAGCTCATTTATGAGCAGCCTCCTGCATTTTAATCCCAGCTGTCTCCTTAGATCAACTTTGAACTAGTCCTTCAACTTCTATATGCTTAGTGGGTTTTCTGCTGTGTGGAGAAAGTAAATAAGCTTGCTTCCCACAGCAAGACATTGCTAGGCTTGCTTTATGTCAAGCATTCTAGGCGAGTTAAGCGCAGAATAACGTGGCTTTGGGCCATTTTTGCTATTGTCAGCTTGCTTTGCTAAATTTTCAGCCTATGCTATTTTTGTCCCTAGATGCATTGCTCAGGAATGGCCTGGCATCCAGAAGTTGCAACCCAGCTAGTCCTTTCCTCTGAGGATGACCGCTTGCCAGTGATCCAAATATGGGACTTACGTTTTGCTACCTCTCCTCTGAGCCAGCTGGAAGGGCACACGAGGTGAGCGCCTGCTTGTTGTGTTGCCTTCTTTAAAAGGCAGACATCTGAGAAACTGGACTTAGGCTAACTATGATTTTTTTCTAGGTCTGCTTTGTTTCACAGATAATCTGGTTGAGGGTAGAGGTGCATTTCTGCTGCTTTCTTGGTGACAGGGTGGGAGAGTGGTCTGTGTATGAAATACAACTGATTTCTTTCTGATCTATTTTAGGGGAGTTCTCTCTGTGTCTTGGTGCCAGGCTGACCCTGAACTGCTGTTGAGTAGTGCCAAAGACAACCGGATCTTGTGCTGGAACCCAAGTATGGGAGAGGTACATAACCACAGCTATAAGTACACATGGTCTGCTTTATACAGAGTTGTGTGCTATGCTATGTATGTGTACCTTCTCTGTATCCCTGTGGAATGCCAATGTAATTTCCTCCAGTATGTCTTCTGCATTCTTCCTGTCTGGGGTGAATGAGAGTGTTGTCCATATCCAGACCCAGACTGAAAACAGCAGAAACAGGCAGAGATTTTCTTTGATGTATCTGTGTCCAGAGGTTGTAGAGGGAAGAAAGCTTTAACTAAAACTTAGTTTCAGTTAATTATGATTACTCTGGCTATGTTCACACATGTAGTGTTCTCTGTGTCCATTTGTTTCTTCTTCTTCCTTCTCCTAGGGTTGCAAGTTTGCAGGGGGAAACTTAAAGGACAATGGGTAGCATTTGTTGAGGGGGGAACAATGTAATTAAATGTGTGTAAACCTTATTCATAGTACAGTGATTTCACATGTATGTGCTTATCTAGTCATGTATCTCAAAATTACCATCTCTGAAATATTTTGCTACTACCTGAATTAAAATAGGACTGTGTAAAAATTTTTTTCTGAAAACCTATTCAATGCTCAATTTCTGGATAAAATGAATTTTGAACAAAGTTCCTGTAGTTGATCTTGATGATAGCATGAGGAAGGTACTCTAACAATACTGAACGAAGTCCAGCTGGGAGCCCCAGGCTGGATTCATTTCATGGGACAATTTCACTTAGCTGACCACATTTGCCTTGGAGGCATGGAAAAAAATTAATCCATTTTCATAAAATGCATGAAATGCTGTGTTGTGGTTTCATAAGGTTTGATGCTCGTTCTGTACAGATGTTTAGTGGTTAGAAGAGAATCAGACTCTGAAATATTCCTGAAGTCTGATTTTTACTAAAGTTTTTTAACTGTGTTTTAGTGGAAAAATTTAAAAAAACAATTTTATTGCAGTTGGTTTATCTTTATGCATGCTTCTGTAGATCTGCAGAGTCCAAATTCAGCTTGGACGTTTATGTACAAACCATTGTTAGGGAGCTGTTCTTGACTTGGTACTAATGAACAGAAAATTTTCAGGTGATATAAAAATGGGAAAGGTTTTCAATAGTAAGGACAGTACAGTTATACAGAGTGACTGATCTGTTGAGGTTGGGGAAGGGTTGGTTTATTAGGTTTTTGGGAAATATTGGGGATTTTTTTTTTTAATTTAGCAATCTATATTTTAATATAAGCAAATGCAAGGTTTTATACCTGGGAATGAAAATGCAGATTATATTCCCACAGAGAAGGAAGCTGTGATTCTCTGTGCTTTGTGTCTATGAAGCATAAAGAAAATCTTCATTTTACAGACTGGAGGTTCAAAGGTTGTGTTAATATGTTGCCCAGTGTCAGGCAGGAAGTGTGTGACTGAGACATGAATTGATCTTTGAATTTTTGAGTGCTGGACCAGAAGCTTGCTGACTGCAATATCCTTCATAGTTCATCTGCAGCTATTACGGTCCTCTTCCGTTGTTGTACTTTTTTTTGTAGGCTTTTATTTTCCTTGTCAAATTTCTTTGTCCAGACTGTTCTTTCTGTTTACATGTTCTTGCTCATGATACCTTCTTGCCTTTTGGCTTCTGCTTTTCTTGTGTTGTTTTCTGGTGTGTCTCCCTTGTTTAACAGCAGGTGCAACAGTACAGACTTGTTTCTTTTGCATTTTGTTCTATAATTGGAATCGTATGGTATAGCAGCTTCCTGTGGCTTTCTGTGGTTTGGATTCAATGCACTATAACTCAGTTGCAGTGCATCCTTCAAGAATAAAAAATAAGAGGCTTGTGTACAATGGTGATATGTAAATAAAGTATGACACACTTGCTGTGGGCAAGTAATTTGGGGAAAGCAGGCAACTATTAGTGTTGTGCTTCTGCCTTCTCTTTCTGTGGCAGGTGGTTTACGAGTTGCCTATTCGGAGTCAGTGGTGCTTTGATGTCCAGTGGTGTCCTAGGAATCCTTCAGTCTTCTCTGCTGCCACTTTCGATGGGTGGATCAACATTTATTCTGTTATGGGTGGGAACTTAGAAGCTCAACAGAAGACGCAGGCTGACAAGGTAAAGTCCTGCGAACATGTTACAGAATGGCAATTACTTACCCGACTTCTGAGAACTTTAGAAGCACACATGTGTAACAGCATGATTTTTAAGTGATGCAGTCTGTCCCACCCACCAGGACATATAGCTGTATGGTGTGGGAACCATAAGCTACCTGTGCTAGTTTGAAAACAAACTAGTGGGAGACACCAAGTCAGAATAACAATTTAATAAGGGAAAAAAAATTATAAAGGCAGATAGCACTGGGTTAAACTGAGTCAGGATACAACCTGACACCCTGTTAATCACGGTGGTGGTAGCAGTCTGGTAGAATGGTGGCTGCAGTCCCCCCGAAGCAGTGATCCTGTAGAAAAAAAAAGATCTGCTCTTCCTCAGAAAAGTCCAGTGGTGGCTAAGTAGCTCCTGTCCTCTGCAAATCCAGTGGAAAAGAGAGCGTCTCTGGTATTCAGAATCTCAGGTTATATCCAGGATGGAATGCTGGTTTTCTCCCTCTGGGTGGAGCATCTCAGAATGGGATAATGAGTCATGCTGTATGGCATTGATGGGCCATTAACAGAGAGATAGTCTGGAGGGGTGTGGCGGGGAAAGCAAGGAAACACTGCCCCACCTGATTTCCACAGCTCATGAGGATGGTAATAGAATACACTGCGACCCAGGACACTACCTGTGTGGGGACTTAATATCCACCAAGTCCCAAAGGGACTACATTGCCTCTTGACAAAGGTATCTCAGTATTTCTTGTAAAATTCATTAAAGTGTGTAAAGAGAACAAGATCAAGTGTAGTTTTGATGTTATATGTATTTTATGGTTATTAATACTAGACTAAAAATAAAGAAGCACACCTGTTAGAGCAACAAGCTTGTCTTGTCATTAGGATAAAATTAAATACATGATACTAATTAATACATCTTATTCTTTATTAGTTCAGAAGATAATTTTTAGAAGTAGTTTATAAGTCACTATTAGCAGTTTTCAAGTCAGTTAACTATAACTTGAAGCATGTTAATATTTTGATACTGAAACCCATTACTTAGCTGATGAATAGATGGGCAAACTCTGAACAGATTAAATGTCAGTACTGTCTAAAATTTTAGTTTTGATCTGGTGTCTAGTCTTTTAATTCCCTCCCTCTCTCGCAGCCAACAAATGCCTTATAATACAGGTTTTAAGAGAATAGGTATGAGCTGGCTTAAGTGTTATTTATGTAGTCATTTACAGCTGTCTGAGTTCAGTTTCATATGATTTGCAAGAGAAAGAAAATACTTTATCAAGCAGCAGCTGTAGGAGATTAAGGATTTATTTAACCCGTGGAGAATTTTCTTTCTGTGCATTCTTCATGTGCATGCACTACACTTCCACTATTCACAGTTGGAGAACAGTAGGGTAGAATAACTCCTAGATAAATAGAATAACAAATAAGAACAAAAATAGGAGGAGATAATGACAGTTATGGAGTTTGTGACCAAGAGATCTCTTTCATCTAGGCTCCATGGTATCAGGACAGAAATTCTGTTGGAGACCTTGTGGTTGATATTACTGGTACCCTTGATAGTGTGTTTTTATTTTTTGAAGGTTTAGAGTGATTGATCTGTCAAGTATATGCTGTTCCTCCAGGAAGTGGTCTTTCTGTGGAATTGGTTTCCCCTCAAGACATGAAAGACAAAATATGTAGGTCTTGCCTGTGATTCTTTGTTTGGCAACCTTAACTTAATGAGCATTGTATTGCTTCTTTTCATGTATGCTGGTCAGCTCTATTTTGGAGCTATGCCCTATGGTCCAGTCAAACTTGAACAGGGTTATCTTTAGCAAACAATAAATCTATGCCAACAATGTTAGCAATTAAGAATGCTTGTGAACAGCATTGTGTGTATGCTCACTGACTTCCTAAATGTCAGAAATCCAGATCAGAGGCCACCTTTGACATTCTCTTGTCTAGGCAAGAAAGTCTGAAGGGATTATTTCACCAGCCTCATCTAAGCTATAAAAGTTTAAGACAGTCCTTAAAACTAACCCACTTGAAAGACTCCAGCAACAGAAAGGAAGTCAGCATTCCTTTGTGAGCCAAACACAGAATAAGTTGGACAACTTTTGACCATATGTTGTCACTGTCTTTCATATAACAAGTAATTCTGTAACCCCTGTGTTTACGAGCTGGATGCTAGGCCAGGCAGTGTTTGTTACGGAATTTCCATCTTGCTAATGAAAAATTACTTGAAAATCTCTCAGGGTGAAGCTTTCTTGAGAAATAATTTCTGAAACTGTTTGGAAATACCATTTCTGTCACATGGAGGCTTGGTGGTATTCCAGGAAGAGGTGCTGTAATAGCCTTTTTCTTCATCAGAGAGAAAAGCAGTAGTGTTTTGTGCTTACTCCATACAGAGAGGAATTTAATTATGTTTTATTCCTTTCTCTGCCTGAGTCTAGATCTCTTCCTCTTTCAACAACCTGGATCCCTTTGGCACAGGACAGATCCTTCCTCCTTTGCAGGTGCCAGAGCAAGTAGCTCAGACTACCTTGATTCCACCATTAAAAAAGCCACCCAAGTGGATTCGCAGACCTGTGGGGGTTTCATTTGCAGTAAGTGAATGGATCATCCTTAGCTTAAAATGCAACAGTTGTTTGATCTTGTGACAGAATCCTTTTCTTTTGATAGAGAAGCCTTTTTATCTTCCTACTGCTTGTTCTAGTGCCTGTTTAATGCTGTGCAGTGTGGTGTCCCATGGAGCAAAGCTCTTTTGCTCAACATTCATGTATATTTCCAACAAGAAGGAGTCCTGTAGCAGAGAATGGGAGGTTATAAGTGAGAGTTAACAAAGGTAAAGAAGACTCATAAAAGATGTCCTTGTAAGGCTGTAACATGCATTCCCATTCTTCTCTGTCTCTTTGCTTCCTATCCAGGTATTTAATTTTCTTCACCTTTGCTCCTAAATCAGAAGGCTGAATTGTTCTTTTAGCCTGTGGCTTGACTTGTTCTCTGTGTTGTCTGCCATTCACATGATAGTTTTTATTATTGCAGCCTGCCTCTCTGTATTAGAAAAGAACAAACAGTTCCAAATGTACTTTTTTCTCTGTGCCTCTCTAAAGTTTACAATTGTCTAGGCCTGATAGGACATGCACAAGTGTTACAGTTATCAGTTTTCAGCTGAAGGGCTTGTGATAGGGACTCCCTCAATGTCCCTACCATCCCTATGCATTAAACTGTTTGTGTTCCTTGTAGTCACAGCTGGAGCTTGAGTCAATCTTGCTGAAGTAAGAGCTAAGTGAGATGCTTTTATCTTTGTTTATAAGAATGTTTACTGTGTCTCCCTCTGTCTTTCTCAGTTTGGAGGAAAACTTATTTCCTTTGGTCTTGCCAAAGCTCCTGGACAGCAAATGCAGCAGACTTACCCACACCAGGTATTCATCAGTCAAGTCACTACTGAAACTGAATTCCTGCTCCGATCCAGAGAACTGCAGATGGCCTTGCAGTCAGGGAACCTTCTTGATTACTGCCAGGGCAAGATCCAGACAGCCAAGTTGCCATTTGATGAGAACCTTTGGAACTTCTTGAAGGTAGGAGGATGGCTGTCGTGGAACACAGAGATTAGTTCTTTTACAGTCCTGGGGTGGAATGTGTTCATTATGGTCCTCTGTAGCCCTTTATATTCCTGTTCTTTAAGATGTAAAATGGAACTGAATAGGCTACTTAGTTACTTGTTTAAAGAAAAGGTTTTGCAATTGGAGTCTTGGGGGTTGCCTTATTTTTCAGTAATGTTTTTTTCAGTTAACTCATTTGGGCTTTCTGTCAAGGTGCTAAACAGGATTTTCTCATTTCAACCCACTGCCAAGCTACATCTGCCTGCTACCTGTGGAGCCCTACTGTTATTATTTCTCAAGGCAAAGTCCAAATGGGCAATGAGATTCCCCAGTAATAAGAAAGAGAGCTGTTGTGGCATGAGGGATGACTGTAGCCCTACATAAGATGATGGTTTCATTGACAGTTTGGTAATACAAAAGTTTGGTAATGAGGAGTGGCTGCCTTTATGGAGGGGCAGGGCTTAGCCTTGGTAGTGTTTTACAGACTGTGTGTAGGGCAAAAATTTGGGATTCTTTCCATAGTACTACATTTGCATGGGGAATCACATCTCTTGAATAGGATGGCCAGGTGTTGTCTAGGTGGTGACAGTAGCCTCCATTGCAAGGGTCATTGCAACAATGTCTTCAGCTGCATTGGATGAGATATGTCAAACTGTTGTTCCAGTGAATTTTTGTAATCCAGCTGGCCCATGGTCTTGTGAACCCACTCCAGCACGTACAAGATCTATTACTATTGATTGTCTTAAACTACAAACCAAGCTTCTGTACAAAAGACTATGCTGCATGACCATTTCCACATCCACAAGAACAGTTTCTACTGACTGTTTACAAGTATCTTATCTATGTACAGTTTGGTCAGTTCTGTAGTAGGAGTAGCCTGGGACTTACAGAGACAGACAAAATCTCCTTGCAGAATGTTAATCATGATTAAAAGCATACAAATAGCGCCTGTCAATTAGGCTGCGTGAAGCCTGGGGGAATCTCTGGAACTGTCTGAAATCCTCATACTCGAAGCTTCTGTAATAATTAATTAACTAATTTTTGTGAAGCCAGCTAGGAGTTCAGGCAACCACCTTGTCTCAGTTTCATCCCAACTTGAATAAGTCCATTGTCTCTAAGCAGAGATTAGTTTGGCAATTCCTAGACCATCCAGGGAATTAATGTCCAAGGACAGGCACTAAGTATACATACAGTCATAGCCCTGATACACAGTTATACCTCAGTTGTAGCTATGTGACAAACTTGAATTTCACCCTTTTTTCATGTTTATAACTTAAATTTCCCACAGTAGTCATTGGGTAGACTTGTCATAGTTGAGTTCCTTATCTATAAACTGTGCTCTAAACTTTGCTGCTGCCAGAGGCAGACAACTGTTGGTAGTGTGTAGATGCCTAGAATTTTACATATTTTCTTGTCTTTTTCAATATACTTTGGGACTCAGGTGAATCTGGAGCAGGAGTCCAGGACTAAACTCCTCAAACTACTGGGTTACAGTAAAGAGGATCTGCAAAAAAAGGTAAGGGGCCCTTCCATTAGAGAGAAACTTTTACAGGACAAAAGCTGCTGCAGGAGAGCTGTAAAGTCCCTGCTAGAAATGACTGAGTAATCTCACAGCACACAAAAGAGCAAACTGTATGAAATTTCAGCTGAGAGGCACCTCAAATATCCTCTGTTAAAAAGAAAATGCAGGATATAACTAGCTATACAGGATCAAACCAAAGGGCTCTTGAGCCCAGTTACCTTACTTCCAGTTGTTGGTGCTGTGGAAGGTGTATAACAGCACTGCAGCTGAGAGCTGCTCCTAGCACCCAGCTCTCTGTATCTCAGGGGATTCTTCAGCCAGGAAGAAAGTGACAGTTGAAGGCAGTCTGGCATAGCACTGATGGAGCTGCAGGGAAGGCAACTCTTGTAGCAGCATGGAAAATGTTCTAAAAAGGATAAATAACCTCTGATAGGCAGCCAGCCAGGAATAGGGAGAAGTGGAACGGCGAAAGAGCTAAGGGGATTGTGTCTAGAGCTTGCCAGTCGCTTGGTGGCTTTGCTGCCCAGGTGCTTAACTTTTATAGGGGCTTCACTCTGTGAATGTCTTTTACTTTTCTAGATCACTTCATGTTTGAGTAATGGGATCCCAGATAAACAGCCCCTTCCTGAGGCAGATGAGACAAATGCTGCACAGCCAGATCAGGTATGTCCTGTACATCTTGCCAGTCTGGGAGAGCAGTGAAAGGCAGAATGAACAGGAAGGTTTAATTTCAACCACAAGATGGGCTCAATGCAGGTGTTGCAGAGGGCAGTTGACAGTCCTGTCACACCCTCACAGGGTCAGACTAAATGATCATAGCAGTCCCTTCTGCCTTTAAAACCAATCAGCAAATGATGGAGACGGACTCCTGGCTGTTAACACTGCAAGAAGGCTTGCTTCACCAGTGCTGATCTCTTCAGCGATAGAATCATCCTCACCCCAGCTTAACATCATGCTATAGTTCTGGATTTCCTCTGTGAAGCTTCTGCTGTGGTATTTCTTTTGCATTTCTTTCCTTTTCACCTCTATGCTTTGAAATGTATTCTGACGTGATTTTGGGATGTTCATCTTCAGATGCTTTCCAAGGCCTGGTTCACCATGCTTTGTAAATTTTGCTCCTCTAAGATATCTAAAACTGTTATCCTCAAATTAGTAATCTTCACAAACCTTAAACACTTGCTGAGATATTCTAAGAGTAGCAGTTGTGTCCTGCATTACAATCGAGCACCAAGCGCAGCTGTGATCCTACCTGTTAGTTGTAGATATCACTTGTTGGGCTTGTCCCTATTCTGTCCAAATTTATTTAGCTTGCTCAAGGGGTGGGTTTTGTTGATGAATGCTGGCCAGCGATACTGTTGGCATTGCATGTCTTACACTGTCAACCTCCTAAGCTTTGTCAATAGTAGCACTGCTCTTGCTGCTGCCCCTGCAAAACTGTGCACATTGATAGAACAGTGACAAGAGGCATGATGGGTTTTCAAGTTGAAATCAGATTTATATGATCATGGAGTGTAGCCCCAAATGGAGAGTGGCCCCATCCCACTCAGTAATCCCTTAAACTGTTTTTGGCAGGATCTGTGTGTTCAATGAACTAATTACTTCTTGCACTCTTCGCACAGCTTTTGATAAATTCCAGTGATGATGTAGCTGCTGTTTGCTCCTCTTCAGCTTTTTTTGACAACCTTATCCCACAGAATATGAGCACATTGGAGATTCCTGTCACTAAAGGTATGTTACACAGAATGAGTTTCTGCCCTCTTAGGAAAAGGCAAGAGGAGGGAAAACCAGAAATTAGAGATACCAGGAAAAATCTGGTCCATTAACAGCAGATGGATGCTTTTAAAATACATAACCCCTCGCAGTGTCATGCAGCATCTCTCAGCATTGTGCAAGGAAATACTCTTCACAGATAAGAGACACATTAAAAATGTAGAAGAATCTTCTAGATGATGAAAAACATACTGTCAAGTCATTGCTTAAGTGCAAAACCTGATTTGGATTTCCAAATCTTTTTTAGCTGGACTTCAATGAGTTGGGTTTTTTTACTGCCTGCTCTTTAAAACAAGCATCATCAGTGCATCTGGGTGATGCCCCTGTAGGTTAACTCTGCTTCTCACCTCTGTAGATACGGATGGACTCATCAGCCAAGCCCTTTTGTTGGGGAATTTTGAGGCTGCAGTGGAGCTGTGCATGCGGGCAGAGCGCTTTGCTGATGCCATCATCCTAGCTATAGCTGGTGGGGAGGATCTCCTAAAGGAGACCCAGAAGCGCTATTTTGCCAAGCGTAAGACAAAACTCTCCCTGGTAAGTGACAGTTTTGTGTGCCTACTGAGCAAGAGAAGGTGTATGATAGCTTGGCAGATGTTCACCTGAATACATGCGGAAATGCTTTGTCAGGAAGTAGAATGTCAGCAGAATCTGTGCATCTCCTCTTGGCTAGACATTTACTCTAATCTCTCGGTAGTTTTATGACAATTTCATGTTGCCCACCTAGAATATCTGTGTTCTCTGTTCCTTTTTTTTTTTTAATCTAGTGGTTTCTGCCTCAGTTCCCCATGCTTGTAACCTGTGCAGCATACTGCCCCATTACAGTTCAGCTAGGAAGGTCATAGCTTATTAATTGACAAACAGGGAAGTGTAACAGGGGTTGGGATATCCTAACACTATATTCCCTCTCATTGATACTACCTGCTTTGAAACAGGATATGTGGGATCATAGAATCATAGAATGGTTTGGGTTGGAAGGAATCTTAAAGATCATCTAGCTCCACCCCTCCTGCCATGGGCAGGGACACCTTCCACTAGAACAGGTTGCACAGAGCCCCATCCAAGCTGGCTTTGAACACTGACAGGGAGGGGGCAGCCACAACTGCTCTGGGCAACTTGTTCTAGTGTCTCACCACCCTCACAGTAAAGAATTTCTTCCTTCTATCTAATCTTTCAGTTTAAAATCATCACCCCTCATGCTATCCCTACAATCTCTGATACAGATTCATTCCCCATCTTTCCTGCAGGCCCCTTTTAAGTACTGGAAGGCTGCTATAAATCTCCTTGGAGCCTTCTCCTCTCCAGGCTGAACAACCCCAACTCTCTCAGCCTGTCCTCATAAGGGAGGTGCTTCAGCCCCCTGATCATCTTTGTGGGCCTCCTCTGGACCTGCTCCAACAGGTCTGTGTTGTTCTTATACTGGGGTCCCCAGATCTGAACACTGTACTCCAGTTGGAGTCTCACAAAAGCAGAGAAGAGGGGGACAATCCCCTCCCTTGACCCACTGGCCACAATTCTCTTGATGCAGCCCAGGATACAGTTGGCTTTCTGGGCTGTGTGTGCACATGGCTTGTAGTCAGTTTTCCATCCACCAATACCCCCAAGTCCTCTGCAGGGCCGCTCCCAAACCACTTACTTCCCAGCCTGTATTTGTGCATGGGATTGCCTCAGCCTATGTGCAGGACCTTGCACTTGGCCTTGTTGAACTTCATGAGGTTTGAGGGGGCCCACCTCTCCAGCCTGTCCAGGTCCCTCTGGATGGCACATCCCTTCCCTCCAGCATGTTGGCCACACCACACAGCTTGGTGTCGTTAGCGAATTTGCTGAGGGTGCACTCGATCCCACTGTCCATGTCAGTGACAAAGATGTTAAACAGTGCTGATCCCAACACCGACCCCTGAGGAATGCCACTTGTCCCTGCTCTCCACTTCGACATCAAGCTGTTGACCGCAACTCTTTGAGTGCGACCATCCGGCCAGTAACTTAACCACCAAGAGATCCATCCATCAGATCCATGTCTCTCCAATTCAGAGACAAGGATGTCATGCAGAACAGTGTCAAATGCTTTGCGCAAGTCCAGGTAGATGACGTCAGTTGCTCTTCCCTTATCCCCAATGCTGTAACCCTGCCATAGAAGAGCACCAAATTTGTGAGGCACAGTTTGCCCTTAGTGAAGCTGTGTTGGCTCTTACCAGTCATCTCCTTATTTTCCGTATGCCCTAGCATCGTTTCCAGGAGGATCCACTCCACAATCTTGCCAGACACAGAGATGAGATTGACTGGCCTGTAGTTCCCCAGGTCTTCCTTTTTTCCCTTTTTGAAAATGGGGGTTATGTTTCCCCTTTTCCAGTCAGTGGGAACGTCACTGGACTGCCACAACTTCTCAAATATGATGCACAGCGGCTTAGCCACTTCATCCGTCAGTTCCCTCAGGACCTGTGGATGCATCTCATCAGGTCCCATGGACTTGTGCACCTTCAGGTTCCTTAGATGGTCTTGAACCTGATCTTCTCCTACAGTGGACCGTCCTTCATTCTCCCAGTCCCTGCCTTTGCCTTCTGTGACTTGGGCAGTGTGACTGGAGCACTAGCTGGTGAAGACTAAGGCAAAAAATTCATTGACTACCTCAGCCTTCTCCATATCCCAAGTAACCAGGTCTCCCATTTCCTTCCAGAGATGACTGACATTTTCCATAGTCTTCCTTTTATCACCAACATAGCTATAGAAGCTTTTCTTCTTGCCCTTGATGTCCCTTGCCAGCTTTAATTTTGTCAGGGCTTTGGCCTTCCTAACCTGATTCCTTGCTGCTCAGACAATTTCTCTGTATTCCTCCCAGGCTACCTGTCCTTGCTTCCTCCCTCTGTAGGCTTCCTTCCTCTGTTTGAGCTTATCTAGGGGCTCCTCATTCATCCACACAGGCCTGGTGTTCTTACCTGACTTCCTCATTGTTGGGATGCATCACTCCTGAGCTTGGAGGAGCTGATCCTTGAATATTAACCAGCTTTCTTGGACCTCTATTTCCTTCAGGGCTTTATCCCATGCTGCTGTGCCAAGCAGATCCCTGAATAGGCCGAAGTCCACTCTCCTGATGTACAGAGTAGTGAGCTTGCTGTGCACCCTCCTCACTGCCCTAAGGATCTTGAACTCCACTATTTCATGGTCACTGCAGCCAAGGCTGCCATTGAGCTTCACACTCCTCACCAGTCCCTCCTTGTTGGTAAGAACAAGGGCCAGCATAGCACCTTTCCTCGTTGGCTTCTCTATCACTTGGAGAAGGAAGATCTTTAGCCTTGCCTAGTGCACTTTTTCCATATTCTCTTAAATGCTTTGTTGGATTTTTTTACTTTCTTTAGAGGCATTGGGTTCCAATTACAGTTAATATTGGGATGCTGTGATTGGTGGACCTTAATGTACAGTGAGGTAGTTGCTGCACAGTGGGAAGTGTGCCTGAAAGTGAGCTATCCCTCTGGGTGCACTTGCTTAAGCAGTCAGTCTGCCTTTGTCTTCAGTGACTGTCAGGCCTTCTGCTTCCCTTACAGCTGCTTTCCTCAGTTGTGCAGCAGAACTGGCAAGATATTGTTTGCACGTGCGATCTACAGAGCTGGAAGGAAGCACTGGCCATCTTGTTAACATACTCAAAGCATGAGGACTATACCCATCTCTGTGGTATGCAGCATACTATGTTTTGATATGATTTCCCTTAGGGGTGGGCAACTCTGCACCATTCACAGGAAGAAGTGGATACTGCTGAGGAAGGAAAGCACTCCTTAATCATTACATGAATAAGTGTGGACTGTTGAGTTAGGAGAATGATATATGCACACTGTGGCTGAGTGTAGTGTAAAGTTCTATATGCTGATATTTCCTATCACCTCTACTAATAGCATGGAAAAAAACAGGATAGACACTGGACTCAGACACCAAGAGGGTGATATTTATTATCTTACTCTGGGGAGCAAGGGATTTCCTTGACAGTAAAAGGTCAGGTGGCTTCACTCACCATTCCCCTACATTCCCCTCCCTTTTAAGACCAGAAGCAGGGGCTATTTAATGTTTGGTGGCCTCAGTAGTTTCCTCAGACTGTTAATAGTCCAACATGCTCAGCAACTGGTTGTTCTGAGAGTCAGAGTTCAGGGAAAATCTGGTGACAGAATCTGACAAAGTTACTTATGTTGATTATATGGGAACTACCTCCTGACTGATGGGAACAGCTAAGTGCTGTTGGAGAAATGCCAGCTCTTTATACAAGTAAGATGACACAACTCAAAATGCAAGAAAACATGACATCTTTTGCAGACCAAATTGTAGGAGTGGAAGGTGGTGGTGATGATAGAAAGTTCCAGCTCACCTTTATGTCCTAGCATTTGCTACACATTGACAACTACCAGATTACTAGCTGTCCCTGGTACTGGACACTACTGTTGCCTGGAGATTTGCACACCTCTTTGGGGAAAAAAAAAATCATTGGATTTTTTCGGTGAATTCATCTGTCATTTTTAAGGGTATTTCTTTCTTTTTCATGTCTGGGCAGACATATAAAAATTGGAAGATATATTAAAAATTACTTCTTTTTTCAACCAAGTTGGTTTTGAGATTCCTTAATGATGCCCATTATGTGTTATCTATGAATTAGGTGCAGATCCAAAGCTGTCAACACCTTTTAATGGCAAGCCAGCATAGGATTGCTAAGAGACGAGCATTGGGGTTAATGAGCTCTTCAGAAAGAGAGAGTGTTAAATGTTGACTGTATTTCTTCCTCTCTAGACATGCTGGGTGCCCGTCTAGAGTCGGAGGGTGATGCAGCCCTGTCCAATGATGCCTGCCTCTGCTATATCTCATCAGGCAATGTGGAGAGGTTGGTGGAATGCTGGGTAAAGAACCATGAGACTTCGTCACCCCTTGCCCTGCAGGTACAGGTGCTATAATTTTGGTTTGACTCCCATTTAGGCCAATCTGATAGCCTTGATCTGTTTGTATTACCCCATCAAACGGAGTATCTGGCTTCCAGCAGGCAGTGCAGACCTGTTCATAGTCACCAAAGCATCTCCTTCTAGCCTGGATTACCGGCTTACATCTAAAGGAGACTTGCACTTCTTAAACGTTAAGGGTTTGTTTGTTTAGAGAGTACCAATGACATTGCACGTAAATCCAGCCGTGGACAGGAGTTACGGCCTACCTGCCTGTCCTTGTATACTGACGTCATCCCTGAGCTTCCTTTTTAGTCAGGGAAGTTTAGACTGTGCCTGTTTTCTTCCTGGTAGGCGCTTGAGAGTACGTTTGCTTCTGTGCTTATCATATCTAACTGTAATGCTCCAGTTACCTGGAGGTACCTTCAGAACAGCCTCTGGCAAAATAAAATAAAAGTGTTGACTGTGTTATTCCCACTGCAAGTAGAACGATCATGTATGGGAAGTCACAGCTTGCAGATGAATCAGGGCCTCTAAGTTGGTGTTGTTACCTGTTACACTTAAATCAGTCTTGGCTAAGTCACTAACCCCTGTTGTGTCCAATCACTAGAATGAACTAGACAAGTTTTCTATTCTAGTATCTGCAGATAATGCCCTCTATGTCCTTGGTTTTGCAACCACACTAGTGAGTAAAGCAACAAAAAGGCATCTTCAGCATTCCTGGTTATGTTTGAAACTGGCCTCCTTCCGGTTATCAGTTATCAGCCAATGAAGCATATATCATTCCACAACTACAAACATTACTTCGATTTCTATGAGTTGAAGGAGCTTTGAATAAACAAAACCCTTCTGGTCTGTTTGTCAGCAGTAGTAGTTTTCCCTAGTGAATTTCTCCTTGTATGGTTTTAATCCTTAATCTTTCAAGCTGATCATTTGTAACTCTGAGTTACAGTAGTAACCTCCTAGTAAAAAGTTCACAGTTACTTGAAATGTCCTTGTGGCTTCTGATTTTCTTTTTTCCCTTACCAGAGAAGTAGCAGTGTCAGGGTTTGCTTCCTGATTCCTGTTTTTCTTCACAAAGTGCACCTGAGGAAATGGTAATCAGTGGTAGTATCTGGTGCAGAGTAACTCCTATTCACACTGGACCCGATGTCAGTTGAAAGTTGGGAAAGCTATCTGGTATTGTCGTAACATGAGATGGACCAGTAAGGCAAGTCAGATTCTGAATGGTCTATTTCTTCCCTCCCCTGGCTTATTCAGGATCTCATAGAGAAGGTGATGGTGCTGAGCAGGTCCATTGAGATTCTCCAAGGCACAGCAGGACATGCACCAGGCCCTGTCTTGGCAGAACGAATCACCCAGTATGCCAGTCTCCTGGCATCACAGGGATGCTTGGCAGCCGCAATGAATTACCTACCCAGCAGCTCTAAAGAGGTAAGTGAGAAACAAGTTGTGTGAAAGAGGAGTATATGGGGAAAAATGATACTTTGTATGAGGGAGAGCTTGTGTTTTGACATGAATCACGACTTAAGGTTTCACCTTAATTATGGTAACCTGAGAGTAGAGGTGTGTTGGGTTTTTTTTCTAGGACACAGCTTTTGTCTTCATTTACTTTTTCTTTGTAGTGCCTTTGGTTCAGGGAAAATGAAGAGAGCTATAGCACCATAAATGTTTCCTGGAGAACAATGCTGGGAAGCAGCTCTACAGGGAAGCTTCATTTATTCCTGAAACTAGCTGGTGGAGGAAGGGAATAGCGAGGTCACCTTGTAGTTGAAACAAATCTGTCTAGTGCCCAAATTTGGGTAGAGGTTGGGGAGGGAAAAGTCTAAAGACTGGGGACAGGATCTGTGAGACTTCATCTGCCTGGGAATATGATGGGTGATGTTCCAGGTTGTCAGTTACAGTTTTGTTTAGTTTTGTTTTCCTGGTGGTTATTGGGGGAATGGTGTCTTTTGCAGTGTTTTGGGTTGGGGTCTGTTTTGAATGCCTTCCATCTGAGGCTCTCAAGGCACTCTTCTAAAGCATAGTTTGTTTCAGCTTCTGATCGAACAGCTCCGGGACCGGCTTTTCCATGCTCAAGGAGAGAATGTGGGTGATCAGCAGCCACCTCCTTTTCCCTACACTCGTGTCAGTGTAGGTGTCATAAAACACACTTCTCCAGCAGCCAGGGGTGGTTCCGCCACTGAAGGAGCAGCCCACAAAACAGGTCTGAGACATCCAGAGAAGGTAGGCCTTAAACTCAGGTGTTCATGACTTGGGGAAAGGGAGGAAGGCATACTGGGTTGTGGAAGGCATATGAAGCATTATGAGATGACGCAGATTGCAGGCATTGAGGAACTCATCAGTGATGCACTTCACTGGAGCAAACACAAGCTCTGTGATAATCCAGAAGTAGGCTGACATCTTTTCACAAAGCCCTGTCCCACATGCTGTCACTGGAGGAGGCCGTTAGAAGTGTAGGGATCCACTGAGATCTTGCATACTGAGGGAAAAGGGGGCTGTGGTTCACTCTCCTATGTCTGTCTCACCCTCATCTCTCACTAAAATTAGTGTAGGATGGCTTAATCTCAGTTCTTGCACAAGAAAACTTCAGGAAGTTTTGCTTCCAGCCTCTATTACTTCATTATTGTTCCTTCATTATTTCCTCTAGTTGTTCTTTCAGGAGGTCACTGTATGGGAACTGGCTCCTGAAGACTAATCCTTGTGAGAGCTGGAAAATAATCTGAAGAGAGTGGTGCCCAGCTTGTTGAACATGTTATGTGGTGGGAAAGGCCTTTAAAGGATCCAGTCCATCTAGGGCACTGACAGCAGCATCATCTTCTCTTGCCTGAGAAGTGACAGGGATAGAAAGTGTATCTGCTTGTGTGTGTATGCACATGATTGTGTTGGCCATTTGCAAATTCTTTGTTTTTTAATTGCAGTCCAGCTGTCAGTCACCATTTGCCCCTTCAGCACCTTCTCAGCCTTCAGTGCCTTCCCTCTTCATGACTCAGCCAGTGCCAGGGATGTCTATGACACCTCACCACGTTGCCCCTCCCCAGGCTAGCACGGGACCTCAAACAAGTGTCTATTCTAGAGGGTCCCCATACCAACAGTACAACTTGGGATTGGTTCCAGCAACCATTTCAGGGCCAGGTAAGCACTGTCTGATAGTCATGTCTATTCTCCAGGTTTTATTAGACTAAAGCCTTAAACATGGATGTCTGCTCTGCTTTCTTCCTCATAGGCCTATTGTACTTGCAAAGAACTAGTCAGCTTTCTGAGAGGCCTCTCAGTGTTTCTGACACATCTAGTTCTATCAGCTCTTGCTGCACATCTGCTGATATTAAGTATATATAGGGGTGGAGAAGCCACGCAGCTAAATTTGTGGCAGAGTTTGACTGATGTAGCCTGGGTTATAGGGGATATGCCTGGCGTGAATATTCTAATGTATGGCTTGGAGAAGGGCAGACTTAATATCATGAAGGAGAGCATCAGGAGAGTTTGCGCATGAAACAAGCGATGCTGATACATTCTCATTTTCATTTGTAGCTGTGTCACAGTCTCAACCGTTTGGACCAGCAGGAGTCAGACCTGTTGGTCCTGCTCCCTTCCCCAGCCAGCCTTCTCTGCCAGGACAGTCCATGCCCATGACATCTCCTGGTGTTCCACCACCTGGACCTGCCCTCTTTCCTCCAGCCTCAGTCCCATCATCTCAGCTTCCTGCAGCTTGTCCTCTCCCTGTGGCAAGCCAGTCTCCTCTAGGTTTCTCTTCAGCACCTTTCAACTGCCCCATGAACATGGTTTACCCTCAGGGAGGTCCTGGAGCTCCATCTACTAAGTCCCTGCCAGCAGCCAGCATTCCTCCTCCTCCCACAGGTAAGTACTGCTTGTGTGACTTCTGTGTCCAAGATACTCGTGGATGCGATTTGAGGTCTGGTCTGGTCTGTCACCATAAAGGCTGGATGTGGTGCTGAGGCTAACCTTACAGGCACATTGTGCTGAGACTGGGTGTGGTGGTGAAACACAACAATGATGACAGTTTCATTCAGCCTGTTCAGCTCTGTCTCCCAGGTTGGGGTTGCAAGATGCTGTCTCTTCAGGTTCCCAGTGCGCCCTAAGTAGCCATGCAATCCAGAGGCATCTGTTCTGACTGAAAAGGTGGTGGTTCCCAGGGAATGCCTGGTGGAAGGCATGCTGATCTTGCCCCTGCTTCTGCAACTTACACAAGAGATGCATTTAAAATGCTGGGAGAGCAGGGTGCTGCTTCTCTATCTGTGGGATACCCCTTGCTTAGCTTCAGGATAAAATTCCTCTGTCTGCTGTGCTCTAGTTCTCCCCATTTTTTCCTGCTGCCATAAAGTGCTTGCCTGGGAATCACTTCTGGATTCTTTTGTGCAGGGCTCTAGACTTGGAGCCTTTCCACTTTGGGTCTGTAGTTTGAATGCAGCCCAGCCTGCAAGTACTCTGAAGTCCTGGCTAGCATGATGAAGAAGAAGAGAGTGTTGTTGGACCTAGTGGATGGGCATTCCCTCTTTCTGTTTCCCACAACATCACCACATCTGGTGCTTTTTAATTCTTTGTTTCCTGTCTCGATGGACAGGTTTAGCCAGGCTGTGGAGATCCCTAACAACAAGGCTGACAGTCCTTAGGTTTTTGAGCAGATGCTCTCCAAGCCATGCGTATTCTGAGAGTGAAGAAAGTGAGGCTTTAAGGTTTGCCTCCACCTGGAATCCTGGAATTAAGCTGTGGTTAACCAAGGATAGCAAATCCCACTGTGTGAAGCCTGTGGCAACTACGCAGAAAGGCTCTAAGCTAAGGCTTGGACAAATTCCTTCTGAAAAGCTATGGAGATAGTAGTCCAGGGACATTACACACTGAGTAAAAGCTGTTGGTGTTGATGACTCTCCCAACCCTGCCTTGATTTTCAGGTTTCTTCCCTTGGCTAGATCCCCACATGGATCATGCAGGTAGTACCCAGAGAAGCCTCCAGACCTGTGCTTCCAGTGAAATGTGGGGGGTGTGCGCACGTTTTACTGTGTGTGCATGCATGCATTCATGCTCATTGCTATTTGTTGTTTCCTTGCATGCCTGGGGAACTATACAGCTGGAGTAGTGGACATAATTGTCCTGAGGACAAGCAAGTGATAGCTGGGAGTGTTGGAAGTGAAATGAAAGTACAGTGCTCTTACTGATGAGTTTGGGTACAGAAAGCAGGGGCTGCAGCTTCTTCCTTCTCTACTTTCCTCCTTTCAGACAGCTGTTGGGCCAGCAGGAGAGGGAAGCAGCCCTTATTCCTTTCTTGGTTCTCTAGGCAAGGAACAGGCCAGTGGTTGTAACTCATCTCTTGTTTTCTCCCTGTTACATTCCCAGCCTTATGCATGGCTTTACTTGCACTTGTGCTTTTCCCAGGTAGACTCATGGTCCCAGCATGAGTGGTGGTGGAGCAGAGCTTCCCAAGCAGACTATGGGGGCTCTATTTCAAGGGGAACTGGAAAACCCTTTTGGCTTTAGTTACAGGGCAAGGTTTGACTTTGAATCTCAGTCCATCTGCTGGGGAGAATTTGGACTGTAGAGGTTTTCTGACTGATGCTTTGTACTGATTTCTCTTCTTGGGATTCATTGATGATGGAGAGTAGGTATCTTCCAGTCTACATTGTTGGTGGGGTACACACAACTCAGTGTCTTAATGGACTGTCTCTGCACAGTGACTGCTGCCTGTGCCAAAGATCATCTGCCAGGCACAAGAGAATACCTAGGGAGTCTCATCTTTATCTAGGAAGTTCAAGTACTTGGTAGCCGCTTACACCACCAAGCAAGGCTTGCTGTGTGGAGTGGGACTCTGGAAAGGGAGTTATCCCTTCAGCAGAGAAACAAGACCCCAATGTTTCCCAGTTAAAGGAAAGATGATTTGGTGGCAAGGATTTCAAGCACTTCCTCAGGCTGAAGATTCCTGTGGGAATTCACTGCTGGGAAAGTTCCCTTCTGGCAGCATTTACCCCCCATTTTAATGGCAGCATATGGCATGCCCAGATCAGTAGTGCAAACTGGCTTCTTGAGAGTGCTTTCTTGCCTGCTATTATTGTTCTGGTTTTGATGGATGCTTTTCTTTAGCCTGGAAAGGGACTGTAATCCCAATCCCCTGGAAAGGGACTGTAAAGTCATTCAATCTGACTGGCCAACCTTGCTTGCTTTGGAAATTCCTGAACATGATATAAACAGTTCATGAACTCATTCTCACTAATGCAATGAAGAAAGATCTCCCCTTTTAGAAATCCCATGCTCCCAAGGAGCATCAAGGATGGGATGAAGGACAGCAACATGTTGACTGATCTCCTTTCTGGCCAGGATAATTTCTGACTCCTGCCTGTGACAATTTTGTTTTTTTCTAAGGACAGGCATTGCTGGAGACTGCTGCCATGGGGCATTCCTTTCAGGGTTGGTGAGAAATCCTCTTTCACAAGTAGCATAGGCAAGATAGTTGGAGTTTCATCCCAGCAAAATGCAGCAGGATCCTGTTGTCTCATGTCTGATGATTGAGTGCCTGTCTTAAAGACTATAATTTAAATAGCTGTTTCCTCTGAGAATTCAAAGTGCCACTGGGTTGGAATAGTGCCAGGATCTGCTAGACCACAGACTTGGTGGGGGCTGGTAGAGTTCTAGGGCACAGAATCCCCAAGCTAGAAATAAGTGCCAACTTAATTAAACTACTGATCCAAACTCATCAGAGAGTGAGTCTTGAAATCATGGGAAAAGGGAGGGCAAAAAGAAGCTGCCAGAATTTTAATAATAAAGGTAATTAAAGTAATGAAGCACCTTTTGCATCTTTCCCCTGTGATTTTTAAAGCTCAGTTCAGGATCAGTGACTCATTAAGTGTGGCATTGAGCTCCAGCAATTCTGATGTTGCCCCTTAGAATTATGCCACTTTCTCACAGATTATTCCTGTCTCATGGGCTTGTGGTTATTAATACTGGGGTGGCAAAAGAAGCACTGGGGTTTTGTCTAGAGATGCAGGTACCCTTACAAGACAGCAGCAGACAAGGTGGTTGGATTTGACCTTTGCAGAATGAAATGCGGTCTCAAGTCTTTTGATGTCATGTTGTCTGATGGATTTTTAATTACCTGGAGTGAGGTTAGAGGCTAGGTACCACAGAAGCATCTGCTGAGACACTGCTCTGCTCCCAAGGCATTTACAGGTTAAGTCTATTCCCTTCTAGTTGAGAAGCCAGCAAATTTTTCTAAGCTTTGGTTCTGAACAGGATTTTGGAAGGGGAAAATTTCAAGCCTAACTTTTCCCCACTTCATCACAGCAACCTGCATTGCTGTGAACTGCCACCATGAGGCGCTCCTGGGAGCGTTGGTGAGAAGCCCTCTCTCACCTATCATAACACAGCCCTCACGGTGATACCGCAGCTCTAGATTCTCTGTTTGGGGCACCCCAGGAGCTCCCTGAACCCTGATGTGTACGCACATGCAGGTCCTGACCAAGGTTTAGGCCTGACGCTGAGGCTGACTTTGGCAGCCTCTGTAGAATGCAGAAAGCTTCATATAGTTGTGAAAAAGTTTTCTGGGTGGGAGTGGCTGTGTGCCTGTTCAGTCTGTTCAGACATCACCTCATGAATCCAGTGCACATACTCGAATCCTAAGAATGTAATTAAGAAAGAGAAAGAGAAGGAAGAACAGTTCATGGGCCCATGAACTGGGTCTGAAATTCCTTGGCTGAAATTATCTGAAAGTGCAGTGATGGAGGAAATGAAGCCATAGGCCTTTTTGCTTAGGGAAGTTCTGAACCATGCAAGCAACCATGTTACTTCGGCCACTTTCTCAAAGTCTGACATTTGTGTCTTGTTCTCTCTCCTGACAGCTCAGGAATCTTGGACTGATCCCTCTGCTGTAAGAGGAGGTCTTCAAAAGAAAAAGGTAATCTTTCAGCTGCAATATGTGTGGTTGTCTTTTAGCCAGAGAGCTCCATGCAACAGATACATTCCTATATATGCTCCCTGTCATCATTAGCAGGTCCCATTCTATGTTGGTCTGTCTGCTTAGGATCTAGGACTGGAGTCTAAGACATCTTGACCCTTTGCCATCCAAATTCACATGCTGTTCTTCAGGGTGGCTGTTTTGTAACAAGGTTATCATCTGTGATGCTGCATCCTTTGTCAGTACTTCCCAGGTTGACTACAATCACTTGGTGCTAGAAATATAGATTTAATCTTATCCCGTTGCCCACACACCTTTTTTGAGAGTGTCTGGGGAGATCATGCTCACATCACACCCATCAGCTGGGGGCAGCATTTCCCTTCAGCACAGTGAGACCCACCGTGATTTTCCTCAGATGCTGATACCAACTGACAAGGTATTCTGAAAGAAGTTGAGACAGGTGTAGCTGTGAGCTGCCTGCCATGTTGGCCCTCCTGCTTGCTACCTTGTCATGACTGCACTGGAGGACCTGTGATCTGAGCTCTTTTGCAGCAAATGCTCTCCGTACCCCAATTCTATCTCTGCTGCCTGCTGGCAGGTGTGTTGAGAAGCTTCTTTGGCACCATTCCCACCCCCCACTCCTCTTCTTTAGCTTGGAACAGACTTCTCGCCCTTTTTTCTGGCAGCATAGCTGGGAACCTGCTTCAGGCTGTGCTCACTACAACAGGATTAGCCTCTTGTTAAAGCCATCTCCTTTTGATCTAGCCCCGTCGGAGTGAATCTGTCCTGACTCTGGCTTAGCAGGGGCATGATGAAGTGTTTGCAAGAGGATTCTCCCCCCATGTCGTGGGATTTTCCCCAACACTTGCTCTGTTGGACACTTTACTGCTGCTAATCTCTACATTCAGGACTCGTGCCGTCGCAGAGCCAAGGCAGCTTTCTGAGGACCATTGCTTTCAGGGGCAACAGATCTGTTTGATTGAACAATTCCAGAGGAGTTTTGTTGCTGCCGCTTTGACTGTTCATCTAGGATGCAAGAGGAAGGGCCCCATGCTCTGAGTCAGGGAGCTGAAAGAACAGGGGTGGGTTACACATCATCTTGAGAACTGGGCACTCTGCAAATTAGAAGGGGAGTTGAATTTGACTGCAGAGAGTGTAAACAACCCTCCTTAATTGGACTTGGTTTTCTTGATTATTTTTTTCTTTTCTTTCTTTTCGCTGACAGTTGCCTGAGAAATTTACTCCTCCAGCCCCCATCACAGCTCCAGTAATGAGCCTGCCCACTGAAACACAAGGGATCCATCCTCAGCTGTCCAGGTTGCAAGAATCTGGCCAGTCACCCCCAGGAGCACCCAAGGAAGGCAGCCTGCAGGTACCCAGGGCAATTGGGGCATTTCCCAGCCACTAGCTCCTTGTCAAGTAGAAAAACAACTCAGCTTTTGAGATTCTTATTACTTGGCAGCTGCAGGGCTTATGTTGCTCCCTAGCCCTTATAAGACATCTCTTTCTGAGTGTTAGAGCAATTGCCAGGGTGGAAAACGACACCTGAGTATGACTAGGAGAGAGGGAGGGAGGCCAGGCAGGCTGTCAGCCTGCTGGGAGTTGGGAATCCACAGAGGCTTAAAACTATACCAGTCTGAAAATCATAATTAACTCTGCTTGCAAGTATTCTCTGGGTTTTCAAAGGGGTGAAATTCTTTCTGGTCATAGTTGCAGGAGTGGAATCTACCTGCTCCAGCCTTCCATGCTCCTGTTGCATTCATTCAGCTGCTTTTCTCTCTGTCAGTATCACCAGCTACCTATGGAGAGGGTTGAGAGGAAGGAGGTGCCCCCTGAGCATCAGGCTCTGAAGGCCACATTTGAAGAGTTGGTGCAACGCTGCTCTGCTGTCGCCACTGATCCAGTAAGTCTTCCCCTCTCTGATCTTTGGCTTTTCTGCTTTCATAGATGTTTGGTTGGTTCTTCCTTCTTCTAGTTGGGAAAAGAGAGGAAGAGTCTTGTCTCTATAACCAAGTTAATATCCATCTGCCTTCTTCCTTTAGCTGTAGGTTTGTCCATCTCTTGGGAGCTGAGATGCATTCTTTAGCATTTATCCACAGCTTCTAATTGCCTCTCTGGAGCTGTGGTTCTGTCCTCCTGGCTTTTTTCTCTGACAAAAGTAGAAGAAACAATCTAGCTAATTCAACTTCCTTTTTCACCATCTTGATCTGTAGATAGTTCCTGGAGAGCTAGTATTACCAGCTATCCTCCAAGCTTAGAGGAAAAGGCTGAGATAGCTTTGTGTCCGGGTCACTGTAATTTCTCCACCTAGTTCATGGAAGGCTGTTGGCATACATGTCATGTTGCATGCATGTATCAGGTCAGACTGTCTGGAAGCAGAAAAGCAGTGTTTGCAGCATCATGTTAGGTTGCTAGGTCTTCCCAGAACTTGGGGGCACCATGAAGCCTTCCTACTTCTATTTAGTGGGTGTTGGGATGAGCACTGAGCCTAAACTGTTATCCCGAAGTTAGACAATTGATGTGTAGCAGCAGCTTCAGCATCCTTGCTATGTGTTTTCTGAGAGCACAGTGTAGCAATTTCTGGAAGATAACCTAAAGGTTCCCTCTATGGACAGAAAGGCCTCTAGGTTTGGGCTTAAGCACTCTGCTTACATGGAGGTAGAATAGCTGGGTTGGTACAGCAGTACAATGTGCCTGAGCTCCTAAGGCTGCCAGGCCTTCCCAGTGTTGCCCAGAGTCAGGTGTTTCTATCCATGGTATAATTTACCTGTGAGTGAATTATCCAAGGTGGGATTAATGGGGTCAGTCTCACTAGAGCTTCAGTACTCATGCCCTTTCCTTGATGGTTACCTATAGTGGGAAGGATATTCCCTCTTTTTCTCAAGGAGCTGTTGCTTAGGTCAGCCATGGTGAGGCTGTCTGAATGCCCTGTGGGTCAGCTAATAGATGTTTCTTGAGCTTTGGTAGTCACTCTGCCCTGTGGTCTGCAAGCACTGGCTGGCAGAAAGGAGGAACACCTAGGCTGGGAGATGTGAAAACAGGCAAATCCAGCTTCCTGTCTTGGGAAGAGAATGTGTGTGTGTATATGTGCACAGTGATGACATGGCTGGCTTGTATCACAGTCCCTGGCTGGCAGAGGCTGAGATGCAGCTGAGTTGTAAGGTGCTGTGGGAAGAACAGAGGAGGGCACAGACTGAAAACGACTTGGTTCTAGGAGGGGTGCTTTGAAGCTTTGTCAGAGCTAACAATACCTGTTTCACTTCAGAAAACCCGAAGGAAGCTGGAGGATGCATTGCAGCGGCTGGAGTGTTTGTATGAGAAGCTCCGTGAGCAGACGGTAAGTATATGCCACCATTCCTTGTGGTCCAGCCGGGTTCCTGATCCCACCTTTGCACTGGGTTGTGGGCCTTGGTGTCTGTCCCAGTGCCAGCAACACATATCCTCTTGAGAAAGCTAGGAGAGTGCCAAACCTTATAATGTACCTTGAATCCAGCCAGCCTTATCTCTTCTTCCTTAACCTTGTCCCAGACATAGTGTAAAGAAGATCTGGGGAGGTATTTTCAGGGTGCTTTTAGCCCCAGGAAGTATACTGGCATACAGACAGCTTCCAGATGGGAAGGGACAATTGGGGATAGTTGTTAAGTGTGAACCTAGTGTAACCTCTGGCTTAGAAAACTCTGAAGCTGCTGATGCCAATTGCTGGAGGGATAGCTATCAAGGGAAGAATCCTTTTAACATATATTCACAGAATTAGAGAATCTTCTAGGTTGGAAAGGACCTTGAAGATCATCTAGTCTAACCGTTAACCTAGCACTAACAGTTCCCAACTACACCATATCCCTCAGTGCTATGTTGACCCTACTCTTGAACACTTCCAGGGATGGGGACTCCACCACCTCCCTGGGCAGCCCATTCCAACACCTAACAACCCGTTCTGTAAAGAAATGCTTCCTAATATCTAGTCTGAACTTACCCTGGTGCAACTTGAGGCCATCACATCTTGGCCTATCGCTTGTTACTTGGTTAAAGAGACTCATCCCCAGCTCTCTGCACCCTCCTTTCAGGCAGCTGTAGAGGGTGATGAAGTCTCCCCTCAGCCTCCTCTTCTCCAGACTAAACACCCGCAGTTCCCTCAGCCACTCCCCGTACGACCTGTGCTCCAGACCCTGCACCAGCTTCATTGCCCTTCTCTGGACACACTCGAGTAAATCAATGTCCTTTTTGGAGTGAGGGGCCCAAAACTGAGCACAGTAATCAAGGTGCGGCCTCACCAGTGCCAAGTACAGGGGCAAGATCCCTTCCCTGTCCCTGCTGGCCACGCTATTGCTGACACAAGCCAGGATGCCATTGGCCTTCTTGGCCACCTGGGCACACTGCTGGCTCCTGTTCAGCCAGCTGTCAGTCAACACCCTCAGGTCCCTCTCTGACTGGCAGCTCTCCAGCCACTCCTCCCCAAGGCTGTAGCACTGCTGGGGGTTGTTGTGGCCCAAGTGCAGCCCCTGGCATTTGGCCTTATTGAAACTCATATGTGTCATCTGCAAGCATACTGAGGGTGCACTCGATCCCCTCATCTAGATCATCAGTAAAGATGTTAAACAGGAGTGGCCCAAAACCAGGCCCTGGGGGACACCACTCGTGACCAGCTGCCAACTGGATTTAACTCTGTTCACCACAACTCTTTGGGCCCAGCCATCCAGCATTTTTTACCCAGCAAATTTCTTTCCCTGAGTGTCCTCGAACAGAGGCAGGGTTCTGTGCTAGATGGACTTTTGACCTCCTTGGATACATTAGGTATTCAATTAACACTGAAATGTCATTACTTAGGACCTACATTCATTGTAATGCAGGCTGGGTATGTCATAGGCTGGGAAACTGAGGGAGGAAGCAGGCTGTCCTTCCTATGAGCAGGTTCTGTTTGATGAGGATGAGGTGAACAGGAGGAAAGGGTGTGGAGGGAGGCGGGGCCTGTGTTACAGTGCTGTGCATGCTGACTCATTTCTGCTCCCTCCCCACAGCTCTCTCCAACCATCCTCATGGGTCTCCATGAAATTGCCCACTGCGTTGAGGCTAGGAACTACCAACAGGGTCTCCTGGTTCACACCCAAGTGGTGAGCAGCAGCAGTTTCAGTGAAGTGTCTGGTTTCATGCCCATCCTGAAAGTCCTCATGACCATTGCTGGCAAGCTGAATGTGTAAAGTATGGACCAGCTGGAACAGTGCACACTGAGAGCTGGTGGACTCCCTCACGTGTTGATGTGCTGCAGGTTGTGGACTGTCCTAACTCTGGAGAAATAAGTCCATGCCAGTGCCTGGAACTGTGCTGGCCCCATCCACTCTCCAGATGGCCCACTGGTGCCTGGGACTTCTGGAGACCATTCTTTCTCTTTCTTCTTTCTTCTTAGTCTGAGGCCACTTCCCAGCCCAGGGATCTCAATTTCAAGCTGTCCAGGTTGCACAAAGATCCTCTCTCTTCCCTGTATCCCCATTACAAAGGGGAAACTCCTTCCCTCCCAGGCTACTGTTGCTTTTTTTTTTTTTTTTAAGGAGACAAACAGGGCTGGCACCTGCAGCGTCACCAGACAGAAGAGCCTTGGGCTTTATTCCCTGCTGCAGTGTAAATTGCCCGAGTGATAGCTGAGCTCCCTTGGGACCTAAGATGCGGTGTCCCTGCTCTGTTGGGCTGCAGTGAGGATCTCCTCTGGTTCCTCCTTTCTCTTCATTCTCATCCTTGACTCACCCTCTCACCCCTCTGTACCTATATTCTGCTACAACTAGGGCTAACTACCAGCCTCCTCTGAGCTAGCTTTGGTTCTATCTCATCTTCACCTAGACCTCTTTTTATAGTCGTGTCCTGTTTACCCTCTATTCCTCCCTCCTTTATATCTTTTCCTCCATAAGCTGCAGGCTTGAGCCCTTTATGTTTCAGGCCTAGGGCTGATTCCCCCTTCTAACTCCTGGAACTTTCCCATTCAGGAATGCTAGCAGGTTGGAATGTTCTGTGTGCTCCTCCCCAGAGCTGGTCACATCCTGGGTTTGGGCTAAAAGCCACCCTCTCTGGCTCCTGGCCTTTTTTCCTTTGTGTTAACACCGGTGGGCAAAAGGCCAACTGTGCTATCTAAAGGCTTCCTACATCAGGCTTTTCAGACAGTCTGGGGACTTTAAGAGCAGCAGGGATTGTTCAGGTCCCATAAAGAATCCCCTTGAGCTACTCTGACCAGACCAAACTTGAGCAGGGGGAGACAGCTCACTACTCCAAGTGTGGTGCATTCTTTCTGCCTACAGTAACAGTTATGTTGAAATGTAGTTCTCAAAGGCCCCTTGGCACTATGGTGGTAGAAATGTCCTGCAGGAGGTGATGCTGTCAGGTCTCATGGATATGGCTGTGCTGAGGCTTTTCATCACTGTGGCATATCCTCTGGGGTAGAATAGATGAATGAAGCATATCTGTCCTGAGGAAGAAGTCTGGGAAGGCAGATGGGCTTTTAGGGCACATCTGTGAGTGTCTCTTTCCCTCTCTTCCTCCTTCCTTGCCTTCCTCTCTCTCACCCTCTTTCATGCTAACCAGGCATCTTAATCCTTGGGCCCTATCTGGGAGAAAGGCTTCTTCCTGACATTTGGCTGCAGCCAGCCCCTGCTTCCTCTGCTTGCTGCTTGAGTGATAATGCCATCGTGGGCCTGTGGTTCAGTGACTGACATGAATCAAACTGCTCTACCATGAGACACAGGAGGGAAGAGAAGCAGAGAAGGGAGGAAGAGGACATGTCTCATTCTCTCCTTTCCAGGTCAAAGTGCCTCCTTGTTGCTGCTGTGTTGTTTCTATTGCTGCGGTTTGATGCACTGATTACAGAACAGCAAAATAAAAGCTGTGTTTTGTGATTCTGCTAGCTTTTTTTCATAGACTTGTGACCTCTGGCTACAGGGGACTTCACTCAGTCTTCAGGGCCACCCACTGAGAGCTGAGTTCTCTGCTTTGGCGAGGGGGGCAACTGTGAACAGTGTGGGACAAACCAGGTTCTGGGCTTTGCTGATGTGGGCAGCAGCCATCCTGGTGTGGTGAGACCTCAGGCCTTACCCACTTCCTAAGGCTGCAGGGTCAGAGAACTGATCTTCTCCAGATCACCCGTCTCAATTGTGACTGTTCATCTGCATCAGACATAAGAAGGTCCCCAGGGTGGCTGAGGTTCTCTTGGGGAATCACGGTAGTGTTGGGGATTTTACTCTTGACATCAGAAGTTGGAAGTATGTCAGTAAGTAAACAGAGAGCCGTTGATAAGATCCTCTTCTGTTGGAAATCAATGTCATACTACTGAAGCCATGTCACTTAAACTAGGATAAGGATCTGACCTGTGTGGAAATGAGATTTATACCACTGAATAGTGAATTCTTATCATTAGTTAATAACATGTATCTGTTGGCTGATTTCATTTAAGCTTTTACAGAGGTAAGCAGGCTGAAGTGGAACATTGGTACTGGGATAAAGTCAGGGGGGAAGCAAACTAGCTTCTGCAAAAAGACTGATGTAATCTCAAAAATGTTTTATTTTCTTTTTGCTGTCTAGCTAATATATATGTACAGGCCAGCCAGTCAGCACCATGAAACTGAAAAATGCAGGACTCTATTACCTGACTTGTGGTTGGAGGACTTGGGAGGAAGTAAAAGTTGAGACGAATTGTTTGGATGGGAAAGATTTGAAGGGCCGTTGCTGGAAAGGACCAGGGTTTATGAGAGTTCTGGGGTGTTATGGACACAGCACATGCATTCAGAGAAAACGAGCCTTTGTTAGTTCTGTGGCTGGCAGAGGCAAACACCAAGTGTAAGGGAGTCTTGCAGAGCTTTTGCAGCCCAGTCTGGGAGCAGTTAGCAACCAGTCTGGCCTCCCAGCTGTCCCCCATCAAAAGAGATGAAAGCTGATTTTCAAAGGCAGCACTTGTGTTATGACCCCTTCTGATGCTGTACAAGTGAGCAGGTAGCCCTGGAGGCATACATTTGCTTAACGAGTATGTAAGGAAAGTCCTAGCTTTCTGAGATCATTTAACAAGCTTGATATGTCTGAGAGTCTGCCTTTCTGGATCCAGTTGTAGTACCCTGTGCAGTCTAGCCTCTTTCTTTAACTCAGGCCACTTGTACCACTGAGAAATAAGGATGGATTTTCCATGTATTTCTCAAATGCATTTGACTAGTTCCCTCCAGCATGCACAGCTCCTGCTACCTGTGACTCATGCAGAGACTGGCTATTTATCCTGCCTTTGCTGAGTCTTTCCTGCTTGCTTCTTTGTCCCACTGTTGCTCAGTTTTGCTTCAGGTTTACCCTAGTGAGCACCGTCTCTAAAACTCTTCATAGGGAAACCAGGCAGGGGGAAGTGAGATGCCCCACTGACAGCACTCCTCCATTTATAGCACTGTCTCTGATGGTTGGTAACAGCTCCTGGTCTACAGACAGTGTCTCCTTAGTGTCACCTCCTCCCATGTCGGCACATGCTACCACAGCATCCCTGCTCTGCTTGACAGAGAAAGTGTTTTCTGTTGGGTGAGAAGGCTTTTGGGTTGACAAAGAATTAGGGGGGGTGGTAGGAAAGGATCCCTGGGCGTAGAGAACAGAGCTCTAATCCTGTTGCAGATAACATCATGTCTGCAGGCTAGGCTTGTGTGTGTTTGGGGGAGCTGGAGGGGCAGAGATTGTTAGGCAGTATTTGTTTGTAAAGCCACTTGCTCTGAAGATAATGCTTGCACTAACTTCTATTGAGTGAGCAGTGTGAGTCCCCACAAAGTCCTTTCCCAAAGTGTCTTTGAAGCCAAGAACCCATTGAAAGGAAGAAAGGCCAAGAGAGGGGATTAGTTTGTTCAGCAGCTGTGAATTTCAGTGGGAGGCTGATGAACTCCAAAGTCTTTGTTGAGATTTTTTTTGTAAGGAGCCCTGCTGGAGGGAGAGACCCACACGGGGCCGCGGCCTTAGACAAGAAGGAATCCGAAACGGCAGGGAGCTGTAAACGGGCCACAAGGACTTTTCCCAAACACTTTTCGGAAAAGGTGTTGTGAAGAGAGCGGAGGGGGATTAGCATGTGAAATGACACTTTCCATTGACTCCACAGAGGGGAGGGGAAAAGGGCTGGCTGGCTGATTTATTAGCATTTTGTTCCCTTCTCTATTCTGCTCCCCCAGCAGCCCCCCTCTTCTTGTTCCCCTCCTCCCTGAGCCCTCTAAAGAGGTCTGGATTGGAAAAGGGAGCGGGGGGCTGCCTGTTTGTGTGTCATCTGGGCGAAGGTGACCACCTGGGAAGCTGAATGTAAATATTTCTCCTCTGAGGAATGTGCCTTCATTAAACCGAAATGAATACATGGAAGCATCCAATCCTGCTGCACAATGGCAGCAGGGCCTTTACTGCTAAGAGCTCCTTGTGCTGGGGAGGGGGGACCCCTCTGGCCCCGACCTGCTGCTGAGGTCAGCACATTTTGCAGCTGCAGTGTCGCCATTTTCTCCCAGAGAAAAGGAGCATGCAATGGTGGGGCTCACACTTGTAGTGCTTCTCTGCATGTCCCCATCACCAACAGGCATCACTGTGCCCAGCAGGCACATCCTGCACTGTGCCACGGCCTTCATGGGGCAGCTGTGTGGGGCAATAGTGTCAGCAGGGGAGGGATGGGGTAGCGCAGCCTGCCATGTGCTGAAGAGGGGGAGGAAATTGGAAACAGCTTCCACATCTTCTCTTATGTTTCTAGCTGGCTGTGGAATGCAGGACACAGGGGCAAGGGGGTAGAAGCTGTCCTCTCTGCCTTGCAGTAGTCCTCAAGCCAGCCTATGCTGCGGCTTTCCCTGCTGTGTGAGAGGCTTTTGCTGCTTCTTTGCTTTCCTGCCCAAAGATGCATTCCCATCACAGAGGGATGGAGGAACTGCTGAAGGAGATGCAAAGGAGGCTGAAGGCAGGGTCACTGTATTAATAAGAACATTTGCACAAACAGCTGGTGGTTTGTGTGTGAAGGGGAAGTGCTTCAGGTTTCCCTGAGAACAGGCCAAGACTGTTTCTTGCAGTTTTTGAAGGGCCAGATTCTTGCTTGATATGAATACTCTTGCTCTGGTGAGACCCCAGCTTGCCCTAGGTCTAAATTCCCACCCCCAACAAAGTAGTCATAGGATGGAGGGGATATTTGATAACTAAGAGATGCATACTAACTGATGAGTATCTTTAATGTATCATGTCTGAAGTGGGCAGCTGGGCCCTTGCCTGCCCCCCTTTCCTCCTGGCAGCTGCATTGCAGTTGGATGCAAGCTCAAAGAGAGAGCAGGGCCTTTCCTCTCCTGGTAGGGGCTGAGGTTGAGGTGCATGGAGGGAACTGGTCAGTTCTTCTGATGCATGACAGATGGGTAAGCAGCTGGGTTTTAGTCTCTAGAACTGTAACTACATACATACACACACACACGCCTGGATGGAAAAACACCCAACTAGTTAAGACACAACAGCATTTTGCAAGCACTTGGCTACTGATTTATTGCATTGGCTATTGGTTTACAAATACTGGCTACAAGACAGGTCTAATGGCCAGTAACAGCTCTGCTGGCTTTTCATCTGGCTAAAGGACACTTCAAACAGCAAAGTAGATGATAACCTCATAGACCAGGGGCAATCACTGTGATGGTGCAGGGAGCTTCCCCAGGTCCTGCAGCTGGCAGCTTCTTCCCTCTCTACCCCAACCATGGCAAGGGAACAGAGATGCATCAACCAAAGCATCCTGCTGCTTGCTTAGCCTATAGAATATATACAATAAGCGGTAACTGTTACGTATACATCACAGTAACTGTGCAATAAATTAAACTTCAAAGTGCTTCACTTTCCTATTTACAAGACCATTAAATAGTAACTGACATGATTTTTCTCAGACTAGGAGGAAATACTTACTTAGTTAGCTGACAGGGTAAGAATGCTTGGCAAGTATACCAGGAGGTGGGGAACAGGCTCAGCTGGCAGCTCCTCTCTGGGAGAGATGTGAGAGGAAAGAGGGACTGGAGACATGTGAGGGCAACTTTATGGCATCAATCAAGGGCTTTGTCAGGGATGCTGGGGTGAAGAGGGAGACTAGGCCTGGAGGCTTAGGAGATACAGAGAAAGTGTCTAAAAAGTGAGTGATGGGACTCTTGGACAGCTGTTTATTGGGCAGGTCAAGCAGCAGCTTCAATCTTGCAGCTATCTCAATGTAGAGTAAAGCACTGGAGGTCTTAGCAAAGCAGTCAAAGGATGGGAATTGACACTGTGGGCCTCCTGAAGGCTGGCGTGCTGCAGGAGGGAGTTACACACATTTTCTATTCCTTCATAGTATAGAGCTTAATAAAAGGCAATTAAAACTTCTAGTGCTTCTATTCTTTTAGGGTACTAGACACCTCTTCTGTTTTAGGGATTACCACCCTGAGTTGCCCAGCTATGGTGGTGCCACCTCAGCTTCCTTTGCTTTCCTAAGTGTTGATCTCACTCAAAAGCTCAGAGCAGGTGCTTGTTTGGGGAACAGACAAACTCAAAAAATCAGGAGCCACCAAGACCACCTTTGTTTTCAGCGATAAAACCATAGTCATTGGATAGAGTGACCCTGTGTTGAAGGGACCAAATCTCACCTTGTTTTGTCAACACTTGAGGGTCTACCCAGTCATCACTCACTGCACTAATGTGAAATGCCCTGCATGGCCAAGGTCTAGGAGCTCATGCAAGGTCTTTTCCTTGCCCAAGCCCCAGTGAGGTGGGATTGGGAATGAAACAAAGCTAAGCCATAGGGAAATGGTGCTGGGGGCTGATGGGGAAAGCAGGAGAGGAGAGGGGCAGACAGGACCATGGAGGAACAGAGGCAAGTTAGAGCCTTCTCTTGAGCTTGCGTGTGGCCCCGCCACCCCCACTCCGCTCCCGCTTCTCCTTGCGGACACAGAAGTACTTGGTGACCCTTTTGCGGCACTGCTCGCACCGCACGGCACAGCACCAGTGGAACTTGCAGTTGCAGCTGGACACCATCTCAGCTCGCCTCTCCTCCACCGCCAGCCCACAGTCCCCACACAGCCGCCGGCAGCTCCGCTTCTCCCACTTGCTGAGTGCCTTGCCCCTCTTCAGGCACTCCCTGCCCTCTGTGCCCAGCAGCCCCAGTGTCTTGTTCTCCAGGCAGTAGTCAGGAGAGTCTTCTAAGTGGACCAGCTCCTTCTTGGAGATGGAGCTGAAAGTCTCAGCGATGGCACCCCGGCTGGCAGCACTGTTCCCTGCCCCCTGCAGCAAGTCCACCTTCAGAGCTTTGTGGTACCTCTCCTTGAGGTAAGTGCCCACCTCCCGAAACTCAGGGAGCTGCAGCCAGCAGGTCTGGGTGGTGCAGCTCCCTGAAACACCGTGGCATTTGCAAGTCCGCTTCATGGTCCCTTTCACAGCCTACAGGGTGAGGAAAGAGAGGGGATTCAGGAAAAAGCCCAGAGGGGTTATGTCTGTGCTGCAGTGCATGGAGAAACATGGCTCCAGGCCTGTGGAGGGGTTTGCCATCAACCCTCCCTGTGCAGTATTCCTGCCCAGGGTCTGTTGGCTTAAAGCTCGCAGATTTGCTTCTCCGTGGTACTCCCCTACTTGAACTTGGAGAAAGAGGCAGCAGGAAGCCACTAACAATGTAATCATGGAAGGTTTGCTACCTCAGAACAAACACAACCTATCACATCAGTACTGCTGCTGTCCCCTTCCAGTTTTTTCTTCCAGATGTGTGCTTTTAGCCACAGCCAGTTGTGACTCTCCACAGTGAATGGCCAGAGCCAATCTAGCATGTGTTGTCACATCTGGAGGGAGAGAGGGACTCACCTTTCTACCCGCCTCGTTGTTGTGCAGGTTCATAGCAGCTCTTGCATCTTGTCCAGTCTCCAGGGCATCCACAAACTGCTTGGAAATGGCTTCCCCAAAGCCCACATTATCGCTGCAGCCTCCCCACAGCCATCCTTGCCCCCCTACGAAAGGAGACGAGATATATGCTGTCAGGGAACCAGCCACTTGCCTGCCTGACTTGTGGCTCTGGGGACAAGAAAGTGTCCAGAAGTGATGGGAGGGAACGGAGGCTGTGGGGCGAATCCAGCCTTTCGCCTCACAATACTCCATGATTCCCTCCCCTTGGGCTCATGCCATTTCTACTGAGGCCTGGATAGTAAGTGGGTCATGCAGGCCACAAAGGGGTACGTCCTGTGTGACAAACCCAGGGATTTCCAGGCTTTCTATAGAGCAGGATTCAGAAACTGTTCATTATCATGCATCAGCAGCCATATAGATAAGGCTTTAGGTCTTTAAATCGCCTTCCCTCAAACCCTGACTTGAGCTGGTTTGCAGGGACAGCATCTTGCTAACATGGATTAGCGAACTGATCAGAGGGAACAGGTGCCCCTCCATTGCAAAACAAACCAAACCTGGCACACATGTAACAAGGAGACCTTCTTTTTGGTACACCCAGAATCCTGGGATGATGTTCAGCATCTCAGAAGAGTCTGATTTTCCATTTACCATAAAGAAACAAAGGAGTCAGCATAGAACTGGGAAAATGCACAGCAAGTTGTGGATGGTACTTTTCCTAACTGCATGGGAGCTCAGCTGACTGCAAACATGTCATGTGATTTGTTTCTTTTCCTCCTAGAGAAAAATGCGAAATTCTCTATGAAGTTTTGAAATATGGAACATTCTGACCCTAACATCCCTTGGTGGTACATCTTGGGAGTTGTGTTTAATGGTCTTGTGCCTCTCTTGAAAGGCGTGGCCCCTGCCCGGACTCCCACACAGCATCGCAGTCCCCTCCCCCAGGGAAAGGCAGGGATGTCTCATGGGAGATGGGGAATTGCAGCAGATGATGAAGTTCAAATCAAGAGCTAGGACCAAAGGGAGAATGGAAACCTTTTACCAACTTGGATTCAGCACAACAGCATTTAGAATTAAATCACACTGTTTTGGACAAGACCAAAAGTTTCCTTTGCCTTCTGAGGTTTTAATTTTACAATGGAAAATTTTCATGAAAAACAGATACATTTTGGAGAAAGGAAGCATAGCATGACTAACTCATTTTTTCAGAGAAGCCCAAATTTGGTGTGTCATTGCCCAAAAGTCTTGCTCTGCTAGATATGAGCTAACCCATGCCTTGGACACCTAAGAAGCAGTGCCCGTTTTAAAAACCATTAGCCAATAAAGCAAATTAGTAAATACTGGACACACCAGAGGAGTTTGTCATAAACTGACACATACCATCTGCCCAGGGCAGCTGGGCGGGGAAGGGCTTTTAAAAGATTTTGATAATTTGAAATCTGACCTCTTTCCATTCAAAACAAAAGACCAAAATGTCAATGTTATCTGTGAAAGCAGAGTGGAGAGCTGTAGTGGTGCAGCCTGGGATTGCCTACCCAGAGGTGCTTAGCAGCTGTGGGCCTGGGTACCACTGCAACAGGAATGGGGTGAAGGCTGTGTGCTGCCACAGCAATTCTCCTGGTTGTGCTCTTATGTGCCTGCCACACTGACAAATGCTGGAGGGGCCAATGAATGCCACCCTGCTTTCCCTCCTGGTAATTCTGATCTGGGGCCACCCTCATCCTGTAGACCCTGGAAGCCCTGTAGTCCCTGATCAGCACTGCTCTAACCAGACCTGTCATTTAGATGCATGGCATCAGATCCTCTTCTCTGCCTGTATGATACAGTCATTCCCTCTAGCAGCTTAAACAGAGTTGTTCTTGGTTTGAACCAGGGAAACTGCAACCCCCTTCTACTTTCCTGCTCATTTAGAAAGATGGAAAACATCAAGGACTCAGCCTCAGCTAGTGTAAATTGAAGGTGGCCCGATTAGCTTCCACAAAGCTTTGGTTTGAGCCAGGAAAAGGTCTGCTCTGATATTATTTCCAGGTGTGAGGACTAGGAGAAGGAGTTGTTTCTGCAGGCCTCAGCAGAGGAGAGGAGAAGAGCTGTCTCCTGCTGTCTGGGACATGAGAGAGGGATGGCAGATGGCAGCTCATCTCTCCTTACCCAGCTGTCCATTGCGGGAGTCATCACAGCCACAGTTGTCAAAATCCCCTAGGCTGCAGTTCCGGGTCAGCGTGTACATGACGCCCGCAGAGCTGATGGCATGGACAAAAGCGGTTTCTCGGTTTGCTGTCACATGGGAATAGAAGGAGAGCAGATGTGCTAAAGATTTCATGATGAGACCAGTGTTAGAAATTACTCCTGCCATGCAGGGGAGTGTGTAGGAAGAGATCTGCAACAGGCAAGGCTTTGTAGAGTGGAGAGACCTGTCAGATTAGCTTAGTTTTGGCTTGAACAACAGAAAGACACAAGCTCCCAAATTCAACCCAGACTGACTTGGGCCATTTCCAAGGGTGTGGATGAATTTAGCACTTGGCTGTCCTTGTGGGAGCTCAGCAGTGGGGACATAGCACAGACAGTCAAATGTCCCCCAGGTCTCACTAATACAACCCAGAGGGAAAAGGGCCTTCTCCAAGAATCAAAGAGCTCCTTCCCACAGCACCCTCGAGCCTTACCTTCTGCTGGACACCGTCCAGGGCTCAGAGCAGTGGCCATACCTACCCACCAGGATCAGTGTGGTGATCATCAGCTGACTCCACTGAGTCTTTGGCTTTCATTTAATACCAGCAAGGTCTGGATCTGAGCAGATAACCTTGATGGGAACAGTTCAGGGACCTACTCCCAGTCCCAGAGTGTTACTTTGTGCTGCAATTGCCTCCTCAGTGCCCCACTTTGAAACTTCTGTTCACCTCTCCTGGGACCCTGGTCCCTCGTCTGCTGCCAGTCCCACCAGAGGCCTTAGGCTCTCCTTCATACCCAGGTCCTGCCTGTGCAGGGCAGGTATGAGCTCAGCCCAGCATCATACATGGGTCTAGAGGACCACGTACATACTTAAACATTTCCTGGCACCTGCAAATGGGTAAGGAATGGGATACAGGGACAGTGACCACAGCTCCACACCCTGCAGAGGCAAAGGTGGATTTCTGCCCAAGGTGACTCTGACATCTGGAAGCTGTGGGAAGACCTCTCCTGCCTCTTGGTCAGAGCACAGCCACTGATGAACTCTTTCCTGCTCCCTTTAGCCATATCCCTCTGCTTGCCACCCCAACACCCTATGCTGGTTCTCAGCTTCCCTGGGACACCCTGGCAAGAGACATGCTAGACCTAGTGTGTCCAGCAGCCCACACCACAGGCCGTGGTGGTGCATCCTTGTGGGAAGCCAGTTGTGTGAGGACTGGTGAGACACTCCTCTCCTGTGCAAGCTGGGGCTTGGTGGATCTGGAGGTGATGCCAGCATTGTGAGGCTGCCTTGTCTTGAAGCTAGATCCCAGCATGTGTCTGGGAGCTGGTGGGTGAAGGGGACTCCTGGAAAGATCCCCCAGGGGCATTCCTGGGAGAGGCACATCCCAGGAAGGGATGGGGGAGAAAAGGAGGCACTTAAGAAGAGAGGAGAGCCCCACGGGCTCTAACCTGTAGCGAGGGCATCCCACTAGTGGTATTCAATACTTTCCTTACCGCTGCGCAGCCCACCATGGCTGGAGAGCTGCAGCGCCCTCTCGGGGCAGTTCCAGCGGTCCCAGGCAAACTGGAACTTGCACTCCTCGATGCCGCTCTGCGCCCCGGCTGCCACACTGCTGGAGTAGATGAGATAGGCCTAGGAGCAGAGCAGCGAGTCAGGAGTGGGGACTGTGTGTGCCCTGCTTCAGCTCCCCCAGCATTAATTTGCAAAACAGTCAGGGTGAGTTGGCTAGCATGCAGGGATGGATTGGTGGCAGGCTGGGAGGGTCCCCAGGCTACTCCCAGGGTCCAGAGGAGTCTCTCAGCAGCTCTAGTTTCCATCCCAGGCAGTGTAAAGCTGGTGTAGCCCCAGCCACTTCCCACACAGCAGTGGGGCTGTTCCAAGTGTAGCTTTCTTGCCCTGTACTGCATATTGTGGGTCCTGCTGCTTTGGGTCTAGATGGATGAAGAAGCACAGTGCAAAACAGCAGGAAGAACATGGCCCCAGGCTCCTCAGGAGGCTGGCATTCAACTGAAAATAACTTGTATGCTATCTTACAGAGACACGATGTACAGAGCTGAGGAAGTGCCTCAGCCTTGGCTTCCCTGGGGAGTGGAGCTCACCACCAGCAGCAGCAAATGCATTTTCTGCTGTGCTGGCTAAGAGCTTGAGCCTTCCAGGGGTAGAAGGCTGAGCTGTTGGCTGTTAGCCACATTAGGAGATGTGCCAGCCAGCCTCTACAATAGGGAACCCCTTATCTCTCCAGTGTGAGAGGAGGCAGACCCTTCTTCTCAGAGACAGGGAGCTCCAGGCCAACAGGTGCCTGAGCCTGCCTCTTCCTTCACTGCAGCCCCAGGGAGACAGCCAGGGCTTTGGGGGAAGGTCGCTCTACCATAGTACTGAGATGTAGCAATAGCTAGATGGGCTTGGAGGTGTTCCTGGGGAATGGCCAGAACAAAAATTGGGTGAATTTTACAGCTGGTCCTGGCTAGAGAAAAAAACCTCAGAAACAGGGGCGCAAGGAGACAGGGGGTCAAAAATACTGAACAAGGTCCTGGCAATTCCAATTGTACTCATTGGGGAAGTATCTTTTGCAAAACCTACATAAAGTACCTTTCTAGCTCAATGAATGTAAGTCCCAATGCTAACCTGATCATGAGGAAGAAACAGATGACAGCCTCAGGTGGTGCCAATAGACAAATCTCCAAAATCTGGCCTCAACCAGCTTAAAAAGATCCCAGGACAACTTTTTTCAGGGCTGACACAGCCTAAGGAGTTGCAGTTTATAGGTCATTCCTGGCCCTTCTGTGCCTTGTTACTGGAAACCTGAGGGTGAGGGGAGCTCTGGCTAAGGCTGGGTGTAGAGGAGTGGGAAGGAGGAGCTGCTCCCTCCCCTCCCTGGGTTTAGTGGAATCAGGGACAGAGATCAAAGAGATTTCTCTTACCTTGGGGCCCGTCATCAGGAAATTATTCACTGACCTGGAAGACAGAGACAGTGTCAGCAGGGAGGGGGTGATGGCGGAGGGGCCTAGGGAATGCCTGGCATCCCAGGGCTCTCCTCTCTGCCCCTGCAGCCTGCCTGTCTCCTGGCTGCAGGCACCTTTAGTCTCTTCTTCTGTCTCCCCTTGCTGCCTCCTGTGAGCCAGGATGATGCCACCTTCTGCCTCCCACCCTGCTCCCCCAATCAGGCTGTTCTGGGCTGCAGTCCCCTCACAGCTCCCTCCTTTTGCTTTCCTCTGCACAGCTACCCTTCATAGCAATTGTCTCATTTATTTAGTGCTTTCCTGTTCCCCCAGCCTTGCCTTTTACCTTACCAAACTGCTGCTCAGCTTAACTCAGGGTAGTGTTGCCCCCAGCCCCAGGAGCTGGACCGTGTGCCAGCACCACTGTCCCTGTGGGACCATGCTGAGGGAAGGAGGTCACAACGCTGCTCCTTCAGTGTGTCCTGGCATCATCGCCCCAGATCACAGCCCCTTGTTTTTCTGTGGTGCCAGGTCTGGCTGCTCACGCACTCCTCTTGGTCACATTATAGTGATGGCTGAGCACAAATGCACTTTTCCTCCCCATCCTGCTGGTCACTGCACAGGGTGGGAG